ATAACAGATCTGCATGGGTAGAATGCAGCATACATGTACAGCTGTACACGATAGCGAAAGCTGCAGTGAATACATGTCGTAAAATGGTTGTATTATTACTTCCGTCACAGAAGGAAAACATTGTTTTAAGTCAGTTAATGAGAGAAAATAAGAGGGGGAAGAGAGGGAGATGGAGACCACCTGCAGATGACATCCTGCATTTGCTCGCAAATGTTGCCATTCTAGTCTGAAGCCTGCTTTTGTTTCTGACGGATCCATGTACGAGTAATCTCCAAGCAGATTCCCTTCGGTGGCAAGACAGTATCCGTTAGCCAATGGCCAATGAACATTGCCTTGCCTCCATATGATCTGCTTGGAGATAATTAGATCCGTAGAGTACTTCTATTCTATATAACGTCAAACTACGCTGTAAAAAACAGATGACAGATTCGCTTGCTAATAGACCCTTATTAAAAATCACATATCTCGTTATATGTTAGATCAAGGACTTATATAACGTCCTTGGTTAGATTTTGAAAAGAGTTACAAAAATTATCTGTACCACGTGCAGCTGAGAGTATCTCTGAGAATCCTCATTATTTCGCTTTTCGTGTAAAACTTTCGCGTGTGCCGGATTACCCGCTCTTCACCCGAGCAGGTAATTGCACTTGTGAGTAGCGCTACTGTTCAATATCCTTGAAAATCCCTCTCTCCTTGAAACTTTTGGGCCCAATTTGGAGACTGTTTACGACAGAGGAAGCCGATTGAGTCCAAATTTGGTAATAATTTGTTCAGTCCACCATGTTAAGTTGTCGTAAGTACGGATCTAAGTTGTTAGGTCTGCTCTCGACATGTTTACCGAAGGCAGTACAAAAGACCTCATCTCGTCTCATGGCAGAAAAAAATAACCCCTGGGTCGGAAATTACCAACAACGCAGTCTTCCTTACGGTACAGAGTGTTTTTCTAGCCTGAAATAGCTCCGGGATGATTTTTAAAATGCATCTATTAAATGGTTAAATCGACACAGGCCGGGTATCCTGGCCTTACGGCGTACGTGGTGTGCTGCAGTTAAAAGCCCGCAAAAATACATAAACATTTAACAGGAAAAAAAGTGGAGACTTTATGGGTTCACCCAAGGAGATTGCATGACATACATAAAATAATCGGGTCTAGGACAGAAACGTTACTGTACGGGGCACATGCAATTCTCAGCTTCCTGAATTTCTACTTGTTGATATATATATCATTACTGTTACTCCCGGTAGGTCTGTCCTAGGCCTTTTGATCTCCTGTCATCCTGCCTGTTAATCTTCCCCATCCACGTGAGATTTAATCAACATGCTCTGTTCCGACAAACATACGCACAAACCCACAGACATGTACCACGCCGTCCGAACTCAGACGTAATAATGAAAATGTAGCAATATGTTTTTCAAATATATCTTGGTCAGGGTAAAAACAAAGCCACCCTGTCTTGGGTATGACAGTTAAGGACGACGCAAAAAACGCCATTTAGAGCTTAATCCCCATAACTCCGTCGTGTTAATGGAAGATATACTGACGCCTGTGAGCAATGGGCATTAGACGATAAGCCTGTCTTTAAACCATGGCGTCAAAGCATTACGAAAATCTTGATACACAGTCACGTCGAATGTCTCAAGCTCTATATCTACCAATCATGGTCGTCACATCCTTTTAATTTCCTATTAGCAGTCATATCTTTTTTATTTCATGCCAGGGGCTCTACATACGTCACCACAGCTAATTAACAAGTAATTAAATCCCTGCTATGAATTGAGAACGTGATACTGGGAGAGGGTAAGCCAATCATTCATGTGGCTAGAGGCAATGTACGCCCCCCCTCCTCTGATTAGTTTTCAAAACTAATCAAACCTCGACTAATCTGTTTTCAAAGTCAAATCCCTCTCGAATACCCGTAATTAACCAGGCATTATAATTAAAATGGAAATGGGATTCTGATTTCATTTCCCCCTATTTTGGGAACGTAGCGAAATTGATGTGTTTATTGCTTTGCACACGAAATATGTTTGACACTGCGGAGAGACATTGGAATTTTATGTTTATTATGAATATGTTATTCATTCAAATATCAACAACACAGTAGTAGTTCATCGTGTGGTTTATCCTAGAGGCGCTTATTTTTGGGAATAGAATAATAGAGAAACTGTCTATCTGACATGCCATGTGTGTTCATGCATGTGTAATCTTTCTCATCATGTCTATATCCCTCTGGAGGTTGAAACAAACATGTTTTCATTATTGGCTAATTTACTCCAGGTTTTCCTGATGTTCCGGTTGTGAGAGAACTGTGAATGATTTTATTTCTCTCATGGCGTCAATTGTTCATAACTTATTAGACAGTTAGCTTGTTATGGGCTAGTTTATTTCAGCACTGATTGGTCCAAGAATATTCTGAATGGGTCTCACTGCGAGCTGAGTTCCATTCAAGTCCATATATTAGTGTTTTATATCCGCGATTACTCTTATTCTTAGATATCTGTGGGAACGCACTACATAAAGACACAACTGTTAGATATATAGTTTAAGCAAGTTAGAGCCTGGTCACAACATCATAAAGTCGTAGTACGATCGTAACTTGCACCAGTCGTGCATATGTTGTACAAAATTCAGATGACTTGTGATGGTCTTATATCCTGATTGACGGTTGCCTCTGTCACAGCTTTTATTTCAAAAGTTATTCGGCATCAAAATCGCACGACGTCCCATGAAGAATGTGACCACGCCTTATGCCGACGGCAAAGTGTTTGGGGAGAACAGATTAATGGAGCCAACACACATATGCACGTTAATGTGTGCCCTGCTGGGGGTTGATGTAAGATCTACAGCCCCATGGCCGAACTGGGACAGTTGATGTCTTCTCGTGCTGACCTGGGTCCAGAACATTGCACTCCAGCCCCATCAACGGCAAGCTCCCCGGGATCCAGCCCCTGGCTGCCATGAAAAGCAGTCCGTCCCCAGTACAAGAGTCATTGGTCACAAACAGGGTTGTGCATTTTTACAACGTTCTGCCGTTTTGTTACTGTGTTAGTAAGCTCCATTTCCACAAGAACGCGAGAGCTGAGCGACCGAAATTCGACTTGTGTTACCCTCCATTTCATAATTGGAAAGTGATGCAAGATGTGATAGCATGATTTAAAAGACAACAAAACACAGAAAATAAACTTGATCAAAATCTGTGAAATTTGTTGAGATCTGTCAAATCTTTGGTCGCTCAGCGGCCACTCAGAGGTCGCAGCCTCTAGTGGAAAGACAAGTGCAAAGTGGAAAGACATGTGCAATGCCCTCAGCTCACTTACTACAGCACATTTCCTTGTGTTTATGACTGTTGATGGCGAGCCATAGCCACTTGCGCGGCGGTGGCCATTTCCCCTTGAAAATGTGATTTCTCCTATAGGATGAAATAAATCTCAGTGTAGCAAAACCCATCAGTTGGGTTCACCAGGGTCAATATTGTCACATGAAGCAACGATTTACAGACTAAATCATTCAGAGTATGTTACCTCACTCTACGAGGTTTTCCTTTGCTGTTAAATGATGTTTGCCGTTACGTTTTGAATATAAATGGTGTTTTCCCGTGGTACTGAAATGTCATCCACCTCGCAAGAAGGCAGCTTAAGGCGCCAACTGTTTACCACTTAAGTACTGTCAGACGTGAACTAATTGATTTACATGCAGGAAATGGAAGTCGTGATACAATGGCGTCTCACACATTTGGGACGGGATTTATACTGACAGAAAGCTCACGTTATGTTTCGATGTATTTGCATATCTGTGGAGACTGAGAGTTAACTGGCCTCACTGGAGATATATACGAGTTTACGTCGCGGTCACATTCGTCGTATGTTGTCGTCCCATTTTCATGTCGTAGACTGTTCAATCAGGCTGTGACAAAACCAACAGTCGGCAAGGATCTAAGACAGCAGTTTCCGTAGCAAAACATCTATATTTTCTACTACACATGCAGGAATGTCCCCAAAATGCACTCATTTTGCCATCGATGACGGATGAGACCGGGCCCATAGTGTCAGTCACAGACTAAATTGCCCTCCATTTTTAGATACTTGTTATACGAATCACAGAAAACAGCAGCTTATTTACATGCAGAAAATAGAAGCTGTCACTATCTACTGTCCTGCATCCTACCATGGATCATCAACATCATTTAGAATAACTGTTTTTAGAAGTCACTATAGTTATTTTTACCTTACGCAATACACCGTCTGGCAACATCTTTTAGTAAAACGTTTGCGTTTGAGGGATGCAAAGGTGTAAAAGCTATATTTATAACTGTGATAGTTTGAAAAAGATGCATCTAGGAAAAAGCTAGAGGAAATAAGAATCTCCGTTTTCAAAACATACAGCTCATTAATTTTACTCGGTTGTCATTGATGACTCGCCCCCTGTTCACTAGAGGCTGACGTCGCTATGTGTCCGAATATCTAATATTTTTCTCAACGAATTTCATAGACAAAGAACGCCTTTTTACTACGTTTTGCTGTCTTTTGAACATCCTTATACAAGAGGCTGCGACATTTGACCAAATTTGACAGATCACACGTTGTGTGTGTTTTGTCTTTTTGTCTTTTATACTGGACTTTTGCGTCTGCACCGTTCATCATATTCCAATTATGAAACAAAGGATCATTCAAATCTAATTTTGGTTGCTCAGCGGCCGTTCGGCGTTCGCCGTCTAGTAGAAAGGGTGCCATAACACCAGTCATGTCAGCGCCAACAGTGCGCGCCGACAGTGGCGGCTACTAGCATATAGCGGCAGACATGAAGGAACCAGCTGCAGTAACAAGGTTAACTCTCGCGGTCTGGATGAATGTTTCTGACGGTCTTGCCGGAGGTCATCGGACCAGATGTAAAGGTTTACCATATGGTCTCCATGGGTTTACATACGATCAAGCATGAGCATAATTTATGAACAGTGGCATCATTCATCCGTGCACTAGTACTTAAAATAACCACACCTTACCTTCAGTATATAAGGTCGGCATTGTCAACCAAAGCTGTGCGGTGTGATGCTCGACAGTTGCCACAGTACGATGGGCACGAGTCAAATCTTTTAACCTTGGGAAGATCACGTGACCACAAAGGACGGCACTTGCTCAGACCAATTAGCCTAGGCGCGGTCAAACGAACTGATTGGGTTCGAGAGTACAAACATTACGACAAATGTTGGATACGTCACTTTCAAAGTTACTTTGGGCAGCGATGGATATGGCACGTTGTATTTCATGCTGTTTCCTCAATACCATTGATTTTGCGACGGCCCATGGCTACTTAGAATCCGCCGGGATCATGTGTTCTTGTTAGGGCTCTTCAGAAACGCCCCTGTCGCACATAGCAGACCCTGGCCTCCCGACCTTCCAAGGACGACAAATGTTGGGAGGTTGGGAGCAAGGTCGGCTGTGTCAAACTTAAGTCTCATCAAAGGTCTTCTCGAAACATACGTGTGTCCTAAAACTGGTCAGACTGTGCTCCCAACCTTGGTTGTATACGAGTAGTGCCGTGGTCGGGAGCAGGTCCTGAATGTGTGACAGAGCTAGCGTTTCGAAATGTTCTGGCAATGTTTGAATATAAAGTTAGTTCTTAGTCAAATTTCCCTTGTAAAAGAAGCGATACAGCCTAGACAGAAAGACGTGTCGGCTTCATGACAACACTGTAACATGGTTTATAGACATAGCGAATGTATGAGACATGATATCAAAGCTAAAGAATATTCATTTAGCGTAACATTGTTCAAGACTCATCAGCATGGTTCACAGAGACTGCACAGGCGCACTATCATCTGAAACGTAAGTCATGAAAAATTGGTTTAACAGAACTACAACTGCTCTGGGCGCAGATTCCCCAGAACGACGTACCCACTGGCACAGCTTTGCCAAAATCCCTCCCCCGCCAGAAGACCTTTTGGCCTCGCTGCTCATTTAGTTTCCTGAACCGTGCGGTCGGCGCGCGCTTCCTATATTTTCTGTGCCAAGGGATCCACAGCTCCGTTACACAACCTTTTCTTTATGACGAGTTCGTGCCCTAGGACTAACCGTAAGTACAAATAAAAAAAGCGGAAAGAAAGTAACACAAATAAAAGAAAGTAAGGCTTTCGAAAGTTTGACTGTCAAAGGTGGATTGGTCTGGTTTGGTTTTCGAAGTGCAGTTTTTATTCTGATCAACAGTTTGAATACAGACGTACAACTGAGATGGTTGGATACTCAGTGAGGACCATGACAATTTCTTTTCTGGCAGTTATAATTATAGTAGGATTTTTTATAAACTCGTATCTCGATTCTTTCATGGTTTCTCCCTAAGCCGGCCATTTTCTGGCGCCTTCTGATTTAAGTTTCCTGTCAGTAACAACTTCTGATACGATAAAATGCTTCTGGCGCATAATACAAGCGTAATAACACAGGCTTAAGATAAGGAACGACAAACATGTACGAATAAGAAATATTGCCTATAAGGTGGAATTCCTGATTGTAAGCTGCTTACCTTATCTTGCTTTTCAGTTGTCTGCACAGGCAATTTTTAGTGTTGCAAATCATAGGTAGAATGTTGAAATAAGGGCCTCTAAATTAAATCCTCACCCACTTGTGTACCCTACGCACGTCGGTTTCTAGGGATCAGGAATGTTTCCTAAACCATATAAAAGAAATGACAAAGGTTACGTGTATAAGGGTCCAGTCACCTTTGTAGTACCGTCGTCGTACGAGCACAAACTGAGAGCATTCTTGGGATAGTCGTGCATGTGTCGTACAAAATGGAACTGTCTTGTTAGGGATGGCTATCTTAGATCCTTATCGGCGGTTAGTTTTGTCATAGCCTGTTTGAAATTTGTACGACATTAAATTTATAAGACGGCCCAATCGCAGGCCTGATGATATACGACGCCTAAGATTTTGTCAACGATGATGGTACCATTTATATATACTACAACAGCGCACAGTGGAAATACATGTATATAAATTCCACCAGCCTTCTCTCAGGGTGTAATTGATGGTAGAACTGGGAGCCAAAATTGGATGTCTGAATAATTTGTCAACAGTTATCACACCAGACCAACTGGACCACCACAGGCAAACCATTTAGTCAGCTCGGTTCTACTGATGGCAACTAGCAGTTATTGATTCCACAGAGGACTGAGTGTGGTCGGTACTAGATACAGGTGAACATCCTGCTGGCGGCGATAGCGCAGCGGCGTGGTTTGCGGTGCGCGGGCTTCACCTAGCCTCTCCAGGCATCGGGAGGCGGCTGGGCAGGGTAGAAATTAGCCAAATAGGCAAACAATATGCCAGGGGACTTGGACCGCGCTAAGAGCGGCAAATAAACTGTTATCTTAGCCAGCGCGGACCGACTCTCGATCCTGGCATGTGGTCTGTCTACTCTTTCCAGTCGCTTCTCAAAGCCATGTGTCGTGCTTTGTTGTTGTGTTTTGTTGGTGTTCTGAAATAAGGGCGCTAAATCTAAGTAGGGTACCAAATGGTGAGGTTGAAATTTAGCGCCCCCTATTTCAACATAATTCTACCTATGATTTGCAACACTAAAAATTGCCTGTGCAACAGACAACTCAAAAGATAAGATAAGCAGCTTACAATAAGAAATTCCACCTTATAGGCAATATCTCTCAGTTCATTCGTAAATGATATCCTTGTTCTCAACGTTGTAATAACTTTTTGTTCTGAAGGGCCACCTATTTGTGTTACTTTCTTTCCGCTTCGTTGTATACATCTCTATGGTGTCCTTCCCAGGTCTACCATGGAACGTCCACAATTATTAATGATTGATTTTTCAACGCCCCGATTGCACACATCAGGCAAAGCACGTACAGTGACTTTTCTCGTGTCCATTGCGCCCGTTTCTTTTCAAATCTACTACGTACTGAAACTGTCGCTGAAAACCCTCCATTGTAAGTGGGGAAGCAATAATGAGCTTCAAAATGCCGTTAACGCCGACGTTGTTCCTACTACGAATCTGCTATGTATCTCTCAGTGAATTCATTCTGCTTGTATAGGCGTTTGCTTCCTTTCTTAATAATGGTAGTAAGGAGCTTCAAAATGACATTAACACCAACATCACTATAAATTTGCTAGGATACCGCTCAGTGAAGAAATACTACTCCTGCATTGCTTAATGCGTCCTCTTTCGCCTGATTGCAAAGGAGTTATTTTAGTTGTTCCCACGTAAATACGTCACGATGTAGCAAGGCACAGCGTGGGTGTGATGTGCGCTCACTGCTCATCCGTTCTTTTTGATGGACAATTGGAGTAGAAAGGTTTAAAAATAAAAATGCCCAAAATACCTGACGGCATGAATTGTTACCATGGTTCTAGCAGGTTTGCTTAGGATAAACATCGGGTTCTAAGGATGCGACGAGGAGAGCCCATTAACTAAGTTAATCTGACATCTCACTACTCAGAATATGACAAATGAATTAAAGATAAATGGGTCCAATGTGTGATTATGAATGCAATATGATAGTACCAAAATAGAAAGCATCACAATTTATAACAAGAAAAGAATCAATATTCCATTTCCATCCGCTCGGCTGTACCTTACTTACAGAAGTTTCTTGCAGTTAATCTCCAAGCAGATCTTTTGGTGGCTGCAGTAGACGGTATCATTGGGCGGTCAATATCCAAAAGTTTGATTGGCGACAAAAAGATACCAGTACAAAAGACCGAAGCAAAGCCAGATAGAACCACCTAAGACACGTCAAAAATAAGCAGAAGCCTCGTGTTCTACCTGCAGAGTATGTTGCAATGTCACTGGCTGTCTTTGACTATTATCCTACTAGTATTAAAATATTGGTACGGCAAAAGTATGCAGAAATACAGAATCTGGAAACTGTGTCTGACGTCACTTGACTTGCCAAGTAATTGTCAGGTGAGGTACTGCGCATGTGTAGAGCCAGGAATTAGGATTAGGGTTACAATATTAACAGCCCGACCACTACAATACCCCCCCCCCCACACACACACACTCACACACACACACCGCTCCTCACAGGTACACAGGAAACCCCAAGAATGTCGGGAAACATATCTGGCACGAGTACAAATTGACACCGGGAGCTTACTGGAGACAAAAAGGTCGCCAAGACTGTCTAGTCAAATTCCTTGTGTATCTTTATTCATCCAAACCAGCATACATGCAAATACTGCGCCCTCCGAAGGCAACAATAGACACGTCAGTACAGTCAACTGACCACCGTGGAGTAGGTAATTATATCGCTACAGGGAAACATTACATTAGAGTTGTAGTCAAACTGGCAGCCAGTCATCGACACTTTCTGGTCATTCACAGCTGCAGCCGTCATATAGAATTTGGTTAACGTTTGCTTTCTTTCTTGTTTGTTTATTTGCTTGCTTGTTTGTTTGTTTGTTTGGTAGGTCATGCATGCAAACCATATACGGCTAATTGTATTCAATTCTAAACATTATTCTGTAGAAATGTAGCAGTTGAGAAAAAAATCAACAATGGTGTTGTGATATATTAGACTGATAACCTCAAAACAGACAAAGTGTAGAAGGACCAATGTTTTGTATCAGGCGTAATGATTGGGACTTCATAGATTTGTTCTTTACTATAAACAGACAGATGTGGACGGGCAGCGAACAATATTTCAAAGATGTTTAAGGCATTTAACCAGGCTACAGTATGTCCTAATGATACAACACCATTTGTCATACATTCAACTGCTTGCTGTTATGAGAGTTTCACGTTATCTATTTTCTCACAAAGCACCGAGAATGGTAAAGAAGCTAGAAGCGAGCAGCAGGGCGGCGGACACCCCGGCCGTCCCCGCTCCCCCGGGCGTGACGGTGTTGCACTTGTCCTGATTGCAGCAGATCCTGCAGATGCCGGTCCCCAGGCCGTTCATGCAGGAATCATCGGTCACACAGTTGGCCTTGCAGCCACGTTCGATCTTGGTCTGAAACCCTCCCGCCTTCACCACTTCCGACTAGAAAATGACAAAAAAACAACTACAGGTCATAACTGATCAGAATATATCAACCAGCAAAGCAGATAGATAGAGAGATAGATAGATAGAGAGATAGATAGATAGAGATAGATAGTTCAACCGTCATGACCACGTACATTTCATAATGAAGGCAACTTTTGGGATAAACATTTCTATTTGCACGCTCGCATTAGTTTTCGGGATCCAGGGAGATGCCACTCATATAATCTAATCAACATGACACTAAAGTATGGAAGCTGTCTGTAGCAACAACAGTTTGCTGCCAAAGGTTGTTTATTCCATGAATGCTTTTAATGAAATGTTACAAAGGAAGTCAAACTTACGAAACAGGAGGAGCCGGAGGTACAGGCGACCGTGCTGATGTTTTGCACTGCGTTCTTACAGTCGGAGCTGGCCGTCAGCGTGGACGAGCAGGAGTAGCATTGGAAGTTTTGTCCAGCACCGTATCCAATGATAGCTGCAGGACAAAAAGCAGACGCCAGGTGGCATGACATATTAGCTGATCTTCAAATGAGTCAGGCCATACAGAAGACCGGCCTGTCCTATATTCCAAACTGAAAATGGACATTTTGGACATCGTGAAAGGTTCACGCTATTAAAAGAAATGTTTCTTACGCTCCGACTGCATTACATATTGTGCGTTTTACTTTATAATGTCAGCCGTCATCAGCATAAAGAAAAGCTAGCTCTCAAATTCGAAGTCATGCACTCATTCTCTGTGCCAACATTTGGTACGTAGTTACTATAGCAAGTAAGACATATTATCATATAGCAACATGACGTTGACCAATGAGATCGAGAAGGAAGCGAACGTGAAATTGTCCGTTAAGTGGTCTGCACCATGTAAAGTTGACGGTTATCAAAGGTACATCATTGCCCCATTAGCCTTCATTACTCATTCATGTATGGTCACGTCATGTGGCGATGCGCTTTTCGCTTTTTTTCAGTCTCAAACTTGTTCATTGGACATTGGCTAGCTGGCGTATGCGTTATAGCCCGAGTACAGTTCCATTAACGAAATATAAAGATCTGGTCTTAAAAATCTTCGAAATGAAATAGCATATGTCACAGGCAGGGTTTGCTTGTACTGTACTAACAGATTTCTTGTTCATGTGTGTACTGTTTTGGTCCTGTAAGACGGCTCGAGCTTGATGACAATGTTCTGAGCACTCTTAGATTTGACATAAATTTCCATGCAGCCGATTGTGCGGACAGTAACAAAACGCTATCGGTGGGTCATGTCTGGAGACCATATTGCAAACTTCGTCGACCTGTTGTACGACCAGGCATTCTACCGTCCTTCAATGGATTCAACACAGGGTAGTTACCTTTATCACAGTCGATATGGTGGCCGTCGCAGGGCCACACAAAAGTTCTTAGTAGCCTATTCCGCCTTCTGTTTTTATTCATCTGGCAGTTCGTGAAGACCTTCAAACCATTAAGGCTTTGACAAAGCACCAAGCGCATTTCTGTTATCTCTAACCAGGATAGCTCAGCTCGGTGGTGTGACCAGTGATTGCGTGCATTAGGGCCCGGGGAAATCTGTCTTCTTAATTCGAACTAATGCTAAAGACAACGTCTCAACTTGTGATGGAAAAGGCGCATTTCTTAGCCTCTACCAGGCTTCGGGAGGCGGTTGGAAAGAGTAGAAAACGGCCCAATAGAGAGACGGCATGCCAAGGGAGTTGGTCCGGCCGCTCTAGAGTACAGTTTGCCGCTCCCGAATCAAACTGTACTCTATAGCGGACCAACTCCCTTGGCATGTTATATCTCTATTTGGCCAATTTCTACTCTTTCCGACCTCCTCCCGAAGCCTGGTAGGGGCTACGCATTTCTCACCTGATTACTCTCATTGCACGACCAGTTTTTTTTTTTATTCACCGTCACACTGCCGGCGTTCTCAAACAATGGAAATATGGTCTATGCTGCCCAAAACATACTTATGTAATAAATGGAAATAAATCATCACGATCCATTTGAAACCTTACCTCCAAAGAGCAGTACTGTCAATGCCGTCTTCATTGTTGTCTTTTGCGTTTATGTGCTCAACGGGTGGTCTTACAAAACCTAACCAAGGAGAAAAAAAAGAACCCAATCATACAACATGAATACAATGGAAAGATCAAAATTGATTGCATCACATGAAACAAAGTTCGCGGTACAGTAGACGAATGTGAAATATATTGACATTCCATCTGAAACTTTACATTTTGCTTTAAAACACATTACTGAAGTCAGGTCATATTGGCTAGCATAGCCGCTAAGTAATCTCAACAATTATGAAACAACAAGCTGGTGTGTTACACAGAATTGTGGTTATACCAGCTATACAGAAACGTGGTTATACCAGCTATGCATTTTTGGAACCCAATTTTACATATTAATTCATACTAATAAGGCACGCAAAGTGACAGCCTGCTTCCTGAACTTTTGTGCATAAAAAAGCTCATAGTTGTTTAAAAAGGGATACCTTTTATGTAATGTTTACATTGGTCTAAACAACTAAGTTTTAGTTTTTGAAATCTATAGTCTGGAGCTACATAGAAAGAAAAGAGATTCACCTTTTTGGTCACGTTCTTCTTCCCCTTTCAGCAGTCTAATGGCCTCATATGTTGGTCCAGCTTTTTATTTTCTCCAGACAATAGAGAACAGGTTAATAATAGATGGTTGACGTGCATCCATTCCGTCATTGGATGATGAAAATAGTAATAATCACTTATTCCAAGGCCTTTGAAAATCTTGTTTTTTTTTGTGCTTTGTATTTAATTTTGGTTGATAGGGTTAAACCCCCTATTGTATTACTCATTCCAATACGTATGATACATGTATAAAGATTCGTCTATTGTATTACTCATTCCAATACGTATGATACATGTATAAAGATTCGGCTGAATCCTCCTATATTTTCAGATTAGGCTACTATACCGAGGGTCAATGACCTTCTCTTCTGGTCACATATATCGTAAGATCGTCGTGCGATCGCAAGCGGATCGTTGTGATTGTCGTGCATGTGTTCGGAAGAGTTTTGCTGCCTTAGATCCTTCTCAGTGGTTGGTTCTGACACAGCCATGCCTTAAAACACTGCGGCATCAAATCGTACAGCCTACGATGAGTGTGACTGCGCCATGAAGTTTACTTATAAAACATACGCGTGAGAGAGCGAACGTTAAGATTTGCAGTAGCTGTGCTCGCACTTGAGTTTGGCCGTCCCCAGACGTGCATGTCTAAACTCTTAAGTGGTTGAGTGAATGGCGTGTTCTGTACAACAGAACAGAAGTCCCCACCGTACGCACACGCACTCCTCAGGGACGGTGGAATCGTTCCAAAATGGGCTCGTGCCGCGACTGGTGACATTTTCCATTAATCCAGGCCCGTCGAGATTTAGCGTGTCCTTTAAACAACAATCGACTTACCTTAGAAAACATCCAAGTGCTCTCAATGATTAATTGCAGCCATTAGCCGTAAGCCTGGCCTTTTAATGCCGCGTGTTGGCACGCGAAGTACGGAAAATGGAATCAATAAGTCATTAATGTCCATTTATGTGCAGCGTCTCTTCAGCTTCCCTACCGTCAAGTGACATGTAACCAAGTAACCGTTCTTTAAGTTGTTATTGAATTGAAGGTAAAGGACATCATCTACCATTTGCTTAAATATGAATACAACAATAAATGTTCCGCATAGCATAGAATTGGAGCAAAAATGGTTTTCAACAAAAACTTTGATATACAAGGAAATCAAGTTCTTGAAATCATCAAGAATCTTGGATATTACTATATGGACATTGCAGTAATTAAGCCATATGCACACTCCAGATTGTCTCTTTGGCGCTTTGACAATTTCTCTCCCGCCATCTTTTCTTCGTAGTGGTGAAACCGTGACGTTTTATCACCACAGGAACCATGCAATATTACGTTGTAGTATTTTCACCTAGCTGTTAACGAGAACGGCATCTTCTAGTTAGCTATGTATCAGTCGACTGGTGATGCTGGCACCTAGTACCTCGGCCCTGGTTGGGAACTGGTGTCATTATCGAGGCGCACATACACGTATGGGGTCGACCGGTCATGAACTTCGCAAGAGCCATTACAGATAGAATATCCTGGGAGACGCGTAGGCTACATTAAAGAAAGTATGGTACTACGCTATGACGACACCGTCAGGATTGGGAATAGCCACTGGTATGCCTTCAACGAAATGTCCTTCCATTCGGGGAACGATTCTTCCAACGAGAGAGCATTTAAAGTTGAGCTTTATTTGGTCATGTGTCGTGAATCGAGGGCCACTACCTGAAGGCACGTCGTTATGTTGTCTTTTCGTAACGATCTCTTCGGGTAGAACTGGGAGAGATCACCACGGCAATGGGATCTTTTCCCTCTTATTTTTGTGCTTTTATTTGACTGTTGATGGTTTAGATGGAGCATCTTAGACCTTGACATTTCTGAACAAAACTCTGCAGCAGAGTCTATCCTTGTGCCATGATGATTTTATCATTTTTGTGGTACCCCGGTGATGACCCAAGATGTTACTACGTTCTTAAGTCCTTAGATTAGAAGACGTCCTTACATTAGATCTTGAATCCTCCCGCAACTTCGTTGGATAGGTCGGCTTGGCCATGAACTTTCTCCAAACGTCGTACCATATCTTTTATCGGCCCATTTCCACGCTTTTGGTCGCGAACTACTGAACAGTGTTAATGTTGTGAGGACATATAGATGAATCCAATGGTTTTCTGTATCGAGACGCTGCCACATTGAGGGAAAAGCTTTCCTTTCGCCTGTTATTTTTATAGCAGTGCACTCAGGAGGGGTCATCTCTAATGTGTGACAACAAATAAGTTTTGCCCGCCTGTCAGCTGTTCCATGAATTTTATTAGTGAGAAAGACAACCTTTCTTTATTCCGTGTCGTTAGGTTTGGAAATTTTGGTTTATGAACATAATTTTTTTAATTGGCGTCTCCTCATACATTTGCAGAAACAAAGCAAAACAAAACAAAACAAAACAAGAGAAAGGAATGCTGGGAGTAGCTGGCCCGTCATGAGCTTTCCTCTTGCGTAGAATACTGATACTGTTTATTCACATTGATTGGCAGCCATATGCATATTGTTGGCTGAATTGCACAAGTGATTACATATTAAAAACCTTGAAAGAGATACACATTAAAAAGTACGACATTGACGATTAAAATTAAATAGTTTGAAAATTTTGTAGGTCGGTCCATTAAAACAGAGGCGGACTACTATTTACAAATCTTGGTTACTGAGGCTTATTGCCTGAAACAGAAAAGATTTACTCAGTCTTTCAGTTCTAAACTTCGGTGTGGAGATGTGGTTTCCGTTTCTCAGGGACCGCCGTGTGCTCTGGTGTCTGTCGCAGGGCATCAAAGAATGCAAAGGGTGGTTGGCATCCCGCATTTGCTTGAAAATAGTTTTCGTTGCAGTTAGAATGAAACCTATCTGGCATTGCAGTCGGAACATCTGATGTTTGTCTCTCTGAACGTTCCTGGTTGTATAGATAACTGTAACGCTACATCTTCTAAGTCTGCAGCTACAGGAATTCACGTGTTATACTAGTACATAGTCCAGTTATTAGTGACCCTGCCTCTGGACAAAGAAGTCGTGAGTTCGAATCCCCATACAAATTCTACTAAACAGATTCGAGATGATTTTCACTTCACGTTTACTCAGCACAACCGTTATAACTTTGGGCTGGAAAGATGGTTGGTACGCTGTTGAAGGCGTCTTTTTAATTATTGGCTTCCTAGCTGGAAATACAGCCTGCACTTCTTTCGAAAGTCTCTAGATGGCTCTCGCCGATCGTTGTGGGACAGCGAGGGTAGTTTGGAGCAGGTGCAGCCGAGTCGGCGGGTGGATATCTCGTTCAGCACCATGGGAAGCACTCACGACGCGATAAACAATTACCCTCGCGATAATCAACCAGTGTAACCTACTAGTATGTAGAGTCCGGCTAAGAATTGTATACAATGCTCAGATAATTCATCTAGATAATCACGTAGGCAGTTCAGTGCTAATTTTAGAGTTTTCAACTACATGTTTTGATCTCCAGCTTTGTCTGTGACTCAGGCATCTTATATACTAGTATATAAACAGGAAATGCCAAAAGACCAGAAAAATATTTTTTATCGGCCGTCTACTGTTCAGTTACCGTTCGTCTGATCATTTATCAGGTTTACTAAATTTGTAAAGGCGGTTTCTTGCGTCAAATTCATTCAAGACTACAAAGTTAACTCAAGTCATTTCCTACCCATGAATGAATGGTAGATTCCAAATTACCCACCAGTCCCCTCACTGCGCATGCGCTGAGTGTTGCTTGGTGTTGGGACGCCATTTCAAATTTCTGCAAGACGCAGACGACAAAATTCCGTCAATTGCTTCTCTGTTTCTCTAAAATTTCACTAGAAACGCTGACGCCTTTAACAGAGACATGGAAAACGCAGAGGTCTCGGTAACAAACGAGGAGGTTTGTTCTGTAATGCCGTATTAAGGGGTGTGGTCGTATCACCCCCCCTCCCCTGCCGAAGTTTTGGCACACCAGCTGTGACACACCTGTTGTTGTTGTTGTTTTCCTCTCGACATGACGTTAGAAAGGAGCCACCTGTCCAAGAGCATGCTCAGTTCCCTGGTCCAGACCAGGTCCATTGAGCTGGTACTAGCACCCATTGCAACCCAGGTAAGAAGTAAATGTGCACAATAAAAGAAAGATGATGAAAATTGACCAATAACGCTAACGCTATGTACACGGGTCAATGTATGTGTGAGTATTTGTGTGTAGGTATAATTTACGAATACCGTACAGTTGTGAAAATGTGGTACATTAACTAGCAGAGAAAATAAAATCCTACTGTATATTGTGTAATGTTAAATGTGGTGTTTGTACTTTTGTCAGTAGTCTCTTACTGCAAAATCATATACAGTATAACACTTCTGCCAAATGCGTTTTGTAAGTAGTTAGTCAGCACAGCAAAAATCTCCTATTCCCTTCTACCGCAAAATAAAACCACAGAGAAAGCAAATATGTTATTACAACAGTCAAATTGTACTTTGCCACTTTCATAACTTGTCTCCATGACTCCATGCGCAGGTGTCCCAGCTGATCATAGCTAATGAGAGCTGTGAGCGGAGGGATGGCCGCCCCCCCTCCTGGCCTAACCTGGTGCCCAGTGCAGAACAGGTGATGAAGACTCTGGAGGAGTTGGTGTCGGCAGCAGAGAAGGCGACACAGGAGTCAGCTGATGAGGTATGTGGTTCGAATTACTTCCAGGCCCCAATGTTGTGCCCTTGGGTTGGGTAATGTATGCCTATTTCCTCACTTGACATGATCCTGAGGTGAAAATGAGTACTAGTATCTAGTACCCTAAGCATGTTAAAAGAACCCACCAGACTTATCGAAAAGAGTAGGGTCTTACAGTCTGGTCTTATGTAGCTTATACATGTACCTACAGTACAGAACTGGTGTGTTATGCCTAAAACAAAACAGAAGTATATGTTCCCAAATATGTTGGTGAAGATTAGACATCCAGGACATAAGATATGCCAAAAAGCAGTTACTCAAGCAACTGGATATGATTTTGGGAATGGTCAGACATTTCAGGTAGCATCTAGCCTTTTGTTAGTGACACTAAGAGACCAGAGGAAAAATGCAGGTTTATAAGCACGAACTGATCATTAATCCCAATCCTGCTGTTTTCTCTCCCCTATAGGAACTCCTGGTTGCGATGCCCGCTGCCTGCGAGATGTTGTCCACAGCTGGCAGAAACACGCTGCTCGCTGCACAGAACCTGCAGACAGTGGCTGTCACCCCCGCAGCACGGGCAGCACTGGTACAGTCCCTACGGAACGTGCTGCAGGGAACTATGAAGGTAGCAGTCAGTACTCTAGATTCTCTTTGTCAGTAACCCTGCCAAAAAAAGACTTGGCCCAGACAAATTCTGTCAATTGAATATTTGCTCAGAATTTGATAGGGGAACACTGATTGGTCAAACCTGAGTGGCAGTATGGGTTCATCCAATCATTATAGGGACTGTGTAACATGTAACAGATGGATTAGTTCATTACATAACATCATCTCCATGTGGATATGTATGGGCAAGGAAAGTTTTATTTGGCAGGGAAGCAAGTTAGAGGGTGAAAGATCAAAGATTACAAGTGAAGTACATGTACTTAGAATTGATTTGAATTTCTTGTTTTATTGATTATTGTGAGACAGCATGTATTAGGCAACATTTTTACCATTCAATTTGTCCCTGCAGCCTGAGGGAGACTATTTTAACCTCCAATTTGACCTTCCTGCCAGTCTGCAGTAACTGTTACACTACAGTATTTCCCCCCTCACTTGTACTGAATTGAAATGACAGCAGACAGCAAGCAAAGAAACAAAGAGACAAACACTCCATGAAGGTTACTATAACACCAGGTGATAAAGATTGATACTGGAATAAAATTTTCTGTGCCAGGTTCTGCTTGTGTGGGATGATGCAGAAGTGAGGAAGATTGTCCATGCAGCCCACTGGGTCCTGGAGAGGGTCAACGTCATGATGACAACTTCCAACATGAAGGGGCTGGTAGCCTGTTTCAAGGTGGGGGATACTTGCTGTGTGTACTCTGATGTGCCTGTATAAATGTTTAAATCAACAACAAGAAGCTGCATTACTCCTATATAGGAAAAATGTTGTGTTTCTGCTTGCCCAACTGACCCTAGCCAAAACCTGCCAACCAAGTGGCAGATTGCTGTCAAGGGATGTAAAATTTTCGAATTGACATCTGAGTGACTAAAATGTACAGTTACTGTAGTTTTTACATAATTATGTTCTTCTGTACAGTAATAGAAAAGGACCTGGTGATATTATGATAAAACACCAGTGTGTAGTAACCAGTGTACTTCTGTTCAGTTTATTAACACACATACATGTACTTGGGTTTGTATGGCATACATGTATATCAGTATTGTTGAAATATGATGAAAATTATACCAGTGTCCTGATGCATTTCAGTTTTTGTCACTTTTCCTAAAATCTAGGGGAAAACAAGGACCATATTTTGGACCATAATCAGAACCACAACATTCCCTTTTCTAGTCCTTTGCGGCTAATCAGGGTAAGCTTCAAGAGAATATTAAATCATTGAGAAGTTGTGGAAGGAAAGTCTACTAGACCTACCATTGTAACAACATTCAGAGAAATGAGTTCCTTAAGCTTGAATTGTAACCTAACTTGAGTGGTTATTATTCTGCTGCAGGGGTTTTCTGAGGCTGTAATGCTATTGGCCAACCTGACAGACAAGCGGCAGCAGGAGCTGACCAACCCTCGCCAGCGCGAGCGGACCATCACCGCCATGATGGCACTGAAGAAGTCTGTCCCCATGCTCAGCACGGCCATGCAGACTTACGTTAAGTACCCTGACAACCCACAGGCCAAGGTAAGGATAAATGGGGCCCGAAATACTTTTTTCTGCATAATTGTCGGGTGTACAGTCATGTAGCATTAAAAATTACCTGCACCAGACAGACTTTACCTGCACCAGTCAGACTTCAACAAGTATGGATCATACCAAAAACTGTTCAAGTTTGCAGGTGGTGGCAGTCAATGCAGCAAATGAAAATCCCCATACACACATTACACCTGAGTCAACACACCTGTTGTTCTTTACGCCAATCATAACAAGAATTTGACCATTGCAATTGGATTTCCAGCCATGACAAAAGTACGAAAACCTGTTCAATTTTTGTAGCCTTGTCTAAAAGTAGCCTTTAAAGCATGCTTGAGGAAGGTATATGGTGCCAAGCTAGTGTTGGTGTTAAGGTACATGTATATGTAATTGGGTAAAATAATCTAATATTATACCAGATATTATTGTAATTTACAGTGTAGTGCTAGTAACTGTTGGAATTATTACTTTACAGCAACTACAGTATGACAGAAATGTTGACTGTGTTCAGACATGTTGAGAACTGCCTAATGGTATATTAAGAAACAACCTGTAACTAATACGTGTCTTTGTGTAGGCGAGTCGCGACTATGTTGCCAATCAGGTGCGCACAGCTGCGAGGGAAATTGTGGCAGCTGTAGAGAACAGGAATGTGGATGATGATGAAATGGAAGAGCCTGGGCACTTTGCACTGGCCTTAGATAAGGTAAGAAAGAATATGTGGTAGCCTTGCACATGTTTAACTATTAACAGTGTCAACCTTTTTTCTTAGTTTCCTTAGTTAGATATCTGTTTCTGATATTTTCTTCTTCATTATGCTAAAGTGTACATTAGCATGTTAGATGTCAACATTATAGTCCACTGGCACTGGTCAGGCTCCCGGAAGCTTGACGACCAACACACACCTCTAATTTAGGAGAATTGTGAATATCTTAATTCTGTTGATATTATAGACCAATTATTTTCAGACTGAAAACTGTCTGTTATCATGATGTGTCGGTGGCTGTGATGACTGTTTTCCATAGTGACAGGATCCTGATTATGAGTTCCTATTAGACTGATTTTCATTGTGATAAAGAATCCTGAGTTCTTAAGGTATCGGTAGTTGAGTTAGAGGTGTTTGGACGCAAGCTCTCAAGGATGAGGCCCAATCAGCCACTAACAGGGAGAGATTGTCTAACACAGATTACGAAATGAAAGTCTCAATGTCCTGTTTTACAGGTGATCCGTATGCTGTCCTCGGATGACCCCCAGTTCCTGCCGGAGGAGCTTGACAGTGAACTTGAGGCTGTTGTACGACATGCCATGCTGGTGGCACACGAGTCTCACACTGAGACAAAAGACCAAATAGTCAGGACATGCAAAAAGGTCAGTAGCATTTTCACTTCTGGGTACGGAAGTATTGTTTTGGGTGGCTGAGCTGTATGTTTGTGTCTTTTTCTATCCTAATTCTATTGGTTGTATGATGAGTGGAAGGTGATTTTGACTGATGATTGATAGGAAATTCAAGTGCAAAGGTGACCTTACACATGCCAGGTGGGATAGCAGGAAGTTGTGTAATTGAAATTGAATTACATCATACAATCCCCTCCACAGTTCCAGTACATTCCCAGAGGTCTGTGAACTTGAGCATCACAGAAATTCAAAATACTTCCCGGAAATAATTTTCTCTGATTTGTTGTGGTACCTGTGGCTTCAATAATCTTAAAAAAAAGAATTAAAAGTTACCAAAAAGTATTCAAACAGGACAAATTTCTTTTTGACGAATTGGTATATGAGGAGGAGTATATGAGGAGTATCTCCTCATATACTCCTCCTGAGTATATGAGGAGATAATATGAGAATGTTGCAATAACCCAAAGTGCCTTGTGTCCCTCAAGATTTTAAAATACAACAGTAGTAACCTTTCACCATCCATTGTCTCACATGCTGCAGGTATTATCCATTGTGTTCTACCTGCCCACCTGTCTAACCTAGTATTCCCATTGTGCCCAGTTATCAAATATTCATGGCTACAGTAGTCCTGTTTTGTTTGAAACAAAGAGTAGGTCAAAGGTTGTTAGAGAAGAGACCTGATTCAAATCTCCAGTACAATATGGTGTGAGATATGAATTTTTAGCCCTACCTGAAACAGGATAGTACATGTTGGTTAAATGTAGCATATAACAGTAATTCTGCAGTGTAGATATTGAACCCAGTGAAGGTGGAAAACTTCCAAGGTAAAATACAGTAATTTGTCAGAAGCTCTTCTTGCTTTGAAATTATTGCTTGTAATAATGTTACAATCATTGAATATGATGATGATTATAATATATATTATGATACATTACCTGAACATTGTGTTTTGTAAATTTTATTAATTTTATATCTGTGTGTTATAATGCTTGATTATTTTTAAGAATAATGCAATGGACAAATATAAGTAAGATCGTAATGCCTTGTTGCAATTTTAAGGTAAATGTTAAGTGGGGCATAACATCCTAATGGATTATATAGCCTTGTTAGCTTTTAGCTAAATTTAGTGAAGTGAAGTCTAGTCTAGTGAAGCTATTTTAAGTTACAGTATTGAGGAGAAAGTTACTTTCAAACATTGCTTCTGGTTAAGGGTAATATTCTGTTGTACATGTAGTACGTCAGATCATCTCTTTGGTTGTCCCAAAAACTCCACAAAGGTTGTCTAATTATATTAGAACTGGTGTGTGACTGACAGGTGTGACTGACAGGTGTTTGTTTCTCAACGGCAGGTGTTTAAAATCAGGAATGAGGTGGCCCAGCTGTTGACATCTGTGGAAGAACACCCAGAGTTTCTACAGCTGAGGTACAACTTCATTTCATTCTTTACTTCAGAATTAGATCATTAGAGAGCTGTGTGTATATGTATTGATTGTTACTTTTCTGGTGATCCCTTCCGTTGCGCTGTGTTTCTTGTCTATGGTCATCATTTCTGCTGTTTTGTATTTGTGTTTCCTTTCCAAAACCAGTAAACTGCCTTTGCCATGTCCGTATCTAATCCTTATGTTCAAATCAAGACACAGACTCCCACAAAGCTTGTGCCCACGAGTGCCAATGGCACAGCATGTTGGCAGAGCGTACTGTACCCTTGCGTAATGTATTGTGCATAGCACTTTGCTAGAACGTTTCATATACTGTAAGGTTGTATTTGCGTATATAAGGTTAACATCCTGTCTGTAGTTTCCAAATGTTATGGCGGAAAAGATATTGTCTGCAACAGACAAAATTCTGATGCAACGTTGACCAAGAGAAACCACGGAAAATCAGGGTTTCTTACAGGTGCAGTGCATTCTGCAATTTAGGCCTCAGCCAATGCCATATTTTGGCATTGGCTGAGGTATTTCTATTGGTTCCCCAGAAACGACTTCTCCGGTGCATGTAACAACCTGATTGGTGAGGCAGATGAGCTGGATAAGCTGGTGAGCAGTGCTGTTCTACAGCAGGTTGTGGACACGTTTGTGGAGACTACAGAACCGCTGGAGAGGCTGCTCAGGGCTGCAGCACAGGGAAACAAGGTATGGAAAACATCAATGGAAGGTTAGACATCCAGGCAGGGCCTAAACTTCTAAAGCTGAAAAGGATGGCATCTGGGCTAAATCCTTGGTGCAAGCATTTTCAAACTTTTCATATCTTTCCTGTTTTCAATTGATCAATTAAATCTTCTCCCTGCATCTTAACTATTAAATGGTTACCAAATGGTACCTTTGCATGTTGATGGTTAAAGGCAATTGTGTGTTCTGCCTACAGAGTGAGTCCCCAGTGACAGAGAAGGTTGCCCTGACACTGTTGGGTCCACACATCGACGACTTCACCAGCCACCTGGACCAGCTGCTGCAGCTGGCTAGCTTTGCAGCTGCCAGCTCCATGGACGCAAGGAGTAAGACATGCTTTACAATGTACATTTGAACTATGCACCATGGAGGCTGTGTTTCATGAATATTCCCACGTTTCAATCATAAATGGGTTTTATGATCTTAGCAGAAATGTAGCTTTTAGAGGTCTTCTAGGTTAGTGTGAGCTTGGGGAGACTGTATTGAAAATTGTTTCAGCCTCATATTGAGGACCTTTACAAGTGAAACATTTTTTTCATTTTTCACTGCAACTAGTATAATACTTTGTATGACCACGCCTCTTCCAGGGGTGAGGATCGTCCGCTCATCCATTCGTCAGCTGGAGAGTCTGGACCCGGAGGTCCAGCCCACGGTTCTGGCGCTGTGTCGGAACCCGTCAGACAAGGCGAGCGTGGAGCACGTGAAGCTGGTGCGCAGGGAGTGGTTTAATGAGGTCAACAGCCTGGTCACCGCTGTGGACGAGATGCTCAACACTAAAGAGTTTATGGAGGTCACAGGTAGGGCTTACATGCTAGCTGCACCTGATGCCTAAACCTAGTACTACCAGTATGTGATAGTTATAGAAATCTGTTGGTGGACCCTTAACTTGTGAGGTCAGGCATCTTTTAAAAAACAGCTATAAATGTCAATATCCTGTAATAGATTATGTCCATGGCAACTATTTTGTGTGTAACGTTTGTTTTGACCACTGTCCTTGGTGCTGAACTGTAGTCCTTAACAGATTTGATGCAGGCAAACATATACCTTTGGGATAGGACTATTGATGTGGGTGGATTTGTCTGTGGGTTTGTTTGCGTGTATGCCTGTCTGGACAGTAGTTTGACAGCACATGGGTGGGGGAAGATTGACAGGCAGCATAACAGGATGTCAAAAGGTCAGACACAGGAAATAGGGTTAACTTGATGATCCCAGAATCTGGTGAGAGCCAGCAGGAATTATTGGTCGACATATGGGGGAATTCAGGAATCCTAAGAGTGACCCTCCAAACCTACACAGTTTCTATCTAGGCTAGTCCTGATTAATGTAGGCCATTGTGGATTATCAAACAAAACTGAAAATACTTACCTGAAAGTCTCAGACCACAAATTTCTTGTTTATGTTGTACCCACCCAGAGGAGAGTATGGAGGAGGACATACACCAGTGTAAGGATGCCATGCACCAGCAGGATGAGGGGCAACTCAAGATGGCCGCCGCCACCATGATGGGGCGTACACGCCGCGTTATCCAGATCACGTCACAACACATCGACAACAGCGACGACCCTATCTACCGCAACGGTCTCCTGGCATGGGTCAGACAGCTGGAAAAAGGTGAAACAAGCAATTCTGAAACTAACTGATTTGATCAAGGAATATTATGTAATACTACAATCATAATCATGATGTCTTCTTATAGTCAACCTCCATGTAAGGAGAGTTTAAAGTCTTTGTTGAAAACTGTTTAGGTAACATGTACATGTCAAACTTGTAAAACTTACTTGTAAACTGAAAAATTATCACTATGCAGCTATGCTTTTGTATTCAGTGTTCCAGTAATTTGTTATGTAAGCACTATTCTTCTGACAATCACATACCCAGTAATACTGTTATAAAAGTGATTTTTGCCAACATTTCCAGCTATGATCCCTGTGAAGACTGCTGCTAACAAGTGCGTAGCTAACATGTCGGATGTCCGAGCCCACGACTCACTTGCTGCGGCGTCCCAGGAACTCCTGACCGTGGTGTCAAAGGTCAAGGATGCCCTGCAGGGAATGGACCATCCTGAGATCCTGAGTCCCATGAGGGAGGGACTGAGGTCATCACAAAACACAGGTATTAGAGAAAGTGGAATGTAGCTTCATTTTAGTGTCCTGACTATGCAAGTAAGTTGTATGAAAAAATATATTTGCATACTCGGGACAACTTAATTGTTAAGTTTTAACCGAATAAAATGCTTAGATTAAGGGTAAAGAATATTTTTCTATATCCTCCACCAGAAAAGAAAGGAAAATGGGCAATTATCAGATAGTACATTTTGTACTAAACCTTTGAACCTTCTTCCTACCAAACAAGCCGCTAATAGAATGGTGAGGAGAAAACACACAGAGTCATGTACGTTGTGTTCGTGTTCAGGCACAAGTACATCATGTGTGGTCAGATCACATAATAATGCAGGTTTGTGTGTCCTTTGGGTGTTTGTTTTCTGTCATTTGGTGATTTGCAGGTTAGAAATTTGATTAGATTTAGATCAAGTTTTTGTTTGTCAATGATAAAAGTTCATTAGGATCACCTGTAAGCAGTGATAACTGTATTTTTTACAAGTTTCATTATTGATTATCAGGGTTCTCACCAGGATTTTTTCACAGCGTAGGGGTCAGGTATAGAAGGGCAACTTTCTGCGGCGCGAGTCACGCACCGAGTCCCCAAAACATGGGCCTGATATTCTCCCCAAAAAATTTTGTAACTCATATTAACCACTTAAGACACTATTTATTGTTTATTGGGGGACAGATTTTGTTTTCCCTCTGTTATAGCTTCATTCTTAAGTTATATTTTCATTTTTTAAAGATTAATGACGCTTCTGCCCCCAAAAACCACCCCTACACTGGTTGAAACACAGTGTAGGGGGCTAAATCACAGCGTAGGGGGTCAAAATCACAGCGTAGGGGGCCCCTACTCTCAAACAGCCTAGTGAGAACTATGATTATTGTTGCTAGATTTTTATGATGACAAAACATTGTCATTCTGAATGAGTAGGTAACAAGACATTTTCTGTTATTGTGATACAAGAGCTGCTTTGTGGATTTTTTTAAAAACATCACATGTAGTACATTAGTCAAGCAGTGTTGCACATTTCCTTTTCATATTTGTTTCATGAAAGAATTACGGTCACATGTTCAATTTTATAATTTTAGGGTTTGCAACAATATATCACAATAGCACAAATCTGCTGAATGTAGCAATGCAAAGCAAAAACATGATACCGTAACGCACATATTTGACAGACATGCAGCCACTCTCTCCATGCTGATTGCCATTCCTTCATTGGTTGAACTGCTAATTGTATTAAACAATCAGCTAGGATAATGGTCTGTTATCTCTCATAAATGTCATTATTGACCAATAGAAACAGAGGACAGTCTCCTGGCACTCCCACTCCCGGATCTCGGAAACCTTCAGGTGTCTGGTGTTACCATGGCAACAAATCAACCAATGGAGGGCAGTACTAACCCCCAAGACAGCTACCTCAGCAAGGCACTGCCCCACGGCTTAGGGGTCAACAATCTGTCCTCACCGCCACTCAAGAAAACTGAGATTTCCATTGTTGAGATTGTACCAGGTTTGATGGCGCTTTTCCTTTTATGCCTCTGACATACTATAAGATAAAGGAGCTAAGAAAGGTCTTTGAGAAAGTTTGCAGTTTTTCTGTTGAATCTGCCAGTTCTGTGTACCATTGATTTTGTCAGCTTTATTTTCAGTTTTCAACATACAATGCAAAAGGTATGTGACCAGGCCCTTACAAAAACCTCTCCTTAACACACAGTGTACATTTTATCTGCCTAGGTCTAGGCCTGCCCTCCCCCGTGAAGGAGTTGGTTCGAGCTGCAGCAGCTCATGAGGCTACTCAAGTGGAGGTGCTTTGCAGCAGAATCTTGGCACGGACCAACCAAGTGACGGGGGTGGTCAATTCACTGATAGGATCTGTGAAGGACCATAAGCAGGCTGAGTAAGTTTCTGACTTGATAGTTAAGTTAAGTAAGGAACAATCCTTTTACTTTAGAAAGGTTGTAAGGTCAGTATTACTTGGAGTGCAAGTGCATACTTTATATTAGAAATTTCAATAAAATGTAAAAATTTTTACAGATGTTTAAAGAATTTATTAAAGAACCTATTACTAAATACAATATTTTTCGTCGGCAGAAAACTCCAGTCTCGTTCAGCAGAGTTCACCAGAGTCACACCAAGGTTATTGGAACTGGCCAAGAGAATCTCCACCAATCAGAGCACAGAGGTAGAAGAGCTGCACAGGATTGGAACAGAATGGGCCAATCAGCTAGCAGTTCTTCAGCCAGCTGTGGACAGTCTCATTGGTCCCTGGACTGCACCTGTCTCAGAGTTGGCTAGGATTGCCAAGGATGGAAATATAAACTTTCTCATGAAAGAGGTGAGATTCTAATCATCAACATGATACATGTATATCTATTAAAACTACAATCAAATAATACAGTGAGCATGATTGATTTTTGGCACTACATACAATAAATCAGAATATCAACATGCAAAATTGTCTTCCTGTCAAAGTCTTGCTGTCAAATCCATTTGAAGTAAATGAAAAAAGACAGACAAGCCTGAACGAATTATTTTGTACAAAAGAACAAAATGTATTATAAAATGCTTTTTTATTGGTTTCAGAATCAGTTGATGTTTCACAAACCTGAAGCCTTTTCAATCTTTCAAATGCTCCATATAATTAATTGTTGCATCTCTTCTATTTTATTCTTAGCTGGATGATTTCCATGAGATTGCCAAGAGACTGAAGAGTCTCGCCAGCACAGCTGCTCAGGCCGTGGCCCTTCAGAAACAGAAGGGGGACCCCCAGTTGGCTCGAACCATTCATCTGTACGGGGAGGAGCTGGAGTCTCTGGCTTCAAGTATCACTGGAGCGGCCAACTCAGTTGTCAGTGACACTGGTAAGGTCATAAATGATACTAGACTGTATATTCACTGGTCTGGATGAATAATACATTGTACATCTGTTGCCTATGTTTTTATCATAGAATCTTATAATAGGGATTTGTCAGTAATGTCCTTTTTCCCTCCTCTCACAGTATAAGTCATTATCTTCCTATGCACTGCCTTTATCTCAATTAGCTTTTTTTTATTATTTTGCATTGTACATTCTTACTAAAGTTAGAGACTTACATCTCAGAAATCTCAGAAAAAAAAAATTGTTCAATATTGTGTACATGTAATTTTTTTCATAGATGATGGTTGAGACAAGCTTTCTTGATAAGCAACTCTATTGGATTATTCACTTTCAAGTTCTTTGAAAGAAAATGGCACGAAATACTTATGAGTGATAGGACGCATTCCAGACTTGTGTGGCCAAACTTTCACCAGTTGTATATGAAGTATATTTCCTGTTGCAGTAAACAAGGCAGAGGTGGAGAGGCTGGACGGTCTGTGTACTGAGTGGTCAGGGAAAGTGGTCCAGCTACTGTCCTCTGTTGACTCTGTCACCACGGAGACAGCCACGCCCATCAAAGTTGTGGCAACTGCAGCAGATACAGGTGACTGAATGATCTGTTTTGATACTTTGTCAATAGGATACTTGTTGTTTGCAAACAACAGCCATAAAAGATGGCTGAGTGTGGTTTTAGAACTACGGAAGGAACCAACATTTTCCTCCATAAGCTTTCATCTGTCCATTGAAATTTATGTCAGCAGATGTAAAACTACATTCAATTTGTTATTATCTTTTGACTTTTTAGCCTGAAACTTTTCATAAGATGTATGAAACTGCTGTTGTATGAACTTGTTCTCCCATGTGGCAGGCAGTGACAGTTCTGTCGAGGACAGCATGAGGGCGCTGCTGTCTCACATGCTGAAGCTGAGGGACATGGCCAGCTGTGCATCAGAGGGGTAGGTTCAACACAACTACTTTAGAGTAGCTTTTAGTACAATGTGTCATGCCAACTTTGACAGAAAAAGAAACAAGAAAACGGAGAATATTTTCATGACTTTCAAGTTCACAGACCTCCAGCAAGTGTTTTTTTGCCCATGGGTTTCGTGAATGAATTTGAACTGTAGAAGGGATTGTATGATGTAATTTAGTCTGGTATTACACCATCTGCAGTATACCTCCATATGCTGCCTAGTTACATTTTGTACTGTCACCTGGTGCCTGCGAGGTCACCTTCAGGCTTGGAATACATGTACCTTCCGGTATGAATCAACCACCCACCCACCATGCAACCATCCATATTCAAACAGACACACAAACCAACAGCTCACCCACCCAAAACAATACTTCCGTACTCAAAAGAGACTTTAGGAAGACTTGCAGAATTTGATCTAAGAAGACCAGGTGTAAGAAGTAAGAAGACTTAATATTAATACTATTAGTTAAAATTCATCATGTTTTGCAGGCACACGAACCACCCCATGGCCAGCCTGGTGACGCAGACCTTCAGCGCGGTGGACACCCTGGGGAAGGCGGTGGAGGAGGTGGCTCGGCTGGTGGCGGCGCGGGCCAGGACGTCCCTGGGGACCACCAACTCCCACGTGGTACTCCGCATGGAGCTGCTGCAGAGGGAGTGGGCTACAAAGGTGGGCAGGGAGTCAATAGTATGGCACAACTGTGTCGTATGGGAAAGAATGTGTTGCCTGGTTGTATTACTGTTAGTAACAATAAATGACTAATAGTATGACGTATACATATTTGCTTCCAGGCAAGGAAGTGTTGCTTTGGGTGGCTAAGCTGTGGGTTTGTGTGTCAGTTTGTCTGGACAGAGTAGGTTGACAGCGGGGGTGTAAAATTAACAGGCAGAATGACAGGTCAAAAGGTCAAAAACAGGAAATGGGACAAAGTTGATAGTAGCTTGACAGCATGTGGGTTGGGGGGATTGACAGACAGGATGATAGAGGAAGGATAGAGGAAATGGGGTGAACTTGAATGTCACAAAACCCCCAAATACACACTGTACCTGGAACTGCTATGGATGTATTGTATGTAATCTTCAAAATTTGAAGAAGATAGTTTGATCCCTTGACCCCATGTCCCTTGTATTGTAGGTGCTATTACTCCATGGACAGGTAGATGGCATGACTAGTGAGATGTCTGCACCACTAGACAGACTGGCGGGAGCTGCACTGGCTGTGTATCATGCTACAGGTGGGTCTGATGGCAACCTGGGCGTCTGTGTGATACAGTATGGTCATGTTTTCAAAAACAAGTTTTTGAACTTTCCATGATTTGTATCAGCTGGCTTTATTTTGTCTTTATAATGTGCACTTGAAACACCTGGATTGAGTAATCTTCTAGCATCCTACATGTATAACCCTGTAAGTTACTCACTAGTAACCAAGACTTATTTTGTGCCAAATGGCTACCTTAGCAGGGAGGCAGTTAAGTGATAGGTAATTGCAGATAAGAACATTTTATCAAAAGGATGGGAAAAGGATCAACAATAAGTGTCTTTCCCAAGGGTACCACATTGAGGCCTGCTGGGGACTTTTAAAAATCCAGAACCTTTTGATTCTACATTTAAGTCAACAAACCCTAACCACAAGACCACCTTTACTTGCAATCTTTATCACTAGTAAATTATCCAAAATCTCAGACACTGATGAGGAATCTTGTGTTGTCTGTCCCAGGCCAGTCCAGGCTGACTCTTCTGCAGGAGTTCCAGAACCAGGCAGACAAACTGTCCACACAGGTGTCCAAAACCAGACAGCACTGCCAGCAGGCCATGGCCGGTACAGCAGAGACTGGGTACAAGGAAACTGTTCAGCTGGCCCTGGACACACTCAGCCGGGTTACTGCAGAGATCATCACAGCTGCCAGGGACATGGCAGGTGCTGGAACAGTTTTAAATTGTATTCAGTTTGAACCCTCAAAAGATCACCCAAACTGTTGCTCTTTATTACTCCGTGAAGGAGGTCAGGACCTCCGGACGAGTGTTGTGAAGAGCCGCTTTTTCGTGTTCGCAGTCAAAACACTGGGTTCTCTTTGTGCAATCGGCATGCAATTTATACGCCGTCTGCGGGCATGCCTGTGTTGATGCACGAATGTGTATTTTTGCCGTTGCTGCTTTCGCGGTCAATGTAATATTGCAGATGCACCCCTACAATTATGAGGCAAATTGGAATGGTCCAGAAAAACCCGTAGTTTGGAATAGCGGTGGGGGGGGGTGGAACTTCAGGAAGATGGTGAGGGGCCGATAAGTGGTACCACGGCAGTAACACTCGCGGTGCTGGCCGCAACTGTTGCTGGAATTTGCCAGTCGCGCTTAATAAGTAACAGGTACGGTAAGACGGTGGGGCTGTCTTTGTTACTAGTGACACGACCATGATAGTCCGATCTTTATGTGAATGCAATTATTGTGTGTGTGTAATTAAAATGAGCTTCGAACTTGAAGCACAGTATCTTTACACGCCCTGAGAGCAGCAATGGATTTAGGTCTTTTTATGTTTTATGTACGTTGTGACGCGCCCTCATTGTATTAACCGTTGCCTTATGTCTGCACAGTAGGTCTCAGCCTGGCGTTGACGCTTGGGATTATTTTTGTTGCAAAATATAAAACTTCACGGCGGATTGTCGCCTATGGCTTCTTTTTTTCTGTTGTTAGAAATACTGTAATCATGTTTGCCTGATTTCAACCTACATGTACCATGTTTGGGAGGACAACTTAAAACCTTACACCAGTTTTGTCCTCACTTCCACTTGATACATGTTGTACCTGTAGTGAATTCAAATAAATAAATAAACAGTCAGATATTTTGGTCTATGGGAAATTAATTGCAATCAACACCACTTTGTCTTTGTTGCATAATATTATACATTGTATATTACACGTATTTAGATTCCCACAGGGGTTCTACAAGGCTTAGTAGTGGGCCCCCTGTGTTTTTTTGTCATCTACAATGAAAAATAGACAATTACCCTAATTATGACCTTCAGATACTGGGTCCGCTGACAGTGCGGTGGGTGAGCGTTTCCAGGACCTGAAGCGACAGTGGGGATGTAAGGCACTGCTGCTGTACAACACACTCCGGGCCATGACAGGCCTGGACCAGGCAACAGTCACAGGTCAGCTCTAACTTACTGTCATTCACTGAGAAAAATGAACATGTTCACAGAACTACATGTTCACAGTGGCTTCAGGTACAGAAAAAAGAATGTCAGGGAATTATTTGTTCACGGTTAAAATGATAAGTTTATCTTGCAGATTGATCGTGAAGACTGCGAACATAAAAGTATGGCAAAAAAATTGTGAATTACAGTATCAAAAATGTCAGTTTCAATATGTTTCTGTGAAAAGCTAGGGAAGCAGAAGTTCTTCACCTTTTGACACCCATGTACTTTCAAAAGATTGTTAAAATGGCAAACTAAAAGTTAATCTCAAATTTCCCTCTTTCCAAGATTTGAATTTCTTTCTTGTCTAATGATTTCCTAGTGATAAAATATTGCATTAATCTTGCCATACAGGTACATATTTAGATCAGTGTCAATGAATTGATTCTGATTATCACAATTAGCAGAATAGCAAATGAGTGAATGGGTACATGTCTGTGAAATATTTGTATTGTATTGTTACTAGGTAGGTAGTGCTTTAGGATCTGTCTGTTGGAAGGCATGGACACTTTACAGTGACTCAACTTCTGCATTTCAACCATCTCTCCTTGACTGTGGCATCCATTTTTTCCCTTCATTGGTTCCCTCATGTTGCAGGAAAATCCCTTAACTATAAGTCCTGGAAGATGATGGCGTCTGCTTGTGTTGTGGAAGGTTTGTTACTCTCTGAAGATGGTGTGCAGAAATCAGCACTTTGGAAGTTGCACTGAGTATTGCTGCACACAGGGAACATTTTCATAGTGTCAAAAAGCATGTCCAAAGTGCCATCTTGGTGGAGAACATTGGATAACAGAGAAACATTCCATCATCAGCTTGCTTGTGTGATGAGACCCTTGTATTGAAAGCTAAAAGCAAATTTATGCAAATCACAATCTGTCATGACAAGCACTTGGGTGGTTTATATGCACATTAACTCAACCGCTACTGATCATATTTGATACAAAATGGCTGCAAGGTGTTTTGGAAACCACTCAGTTGCACCCACTTCACCCCACCAATGTTTAATCCTGAAGTAATATATGTTACAAGTACATACAACTAGATACAACTGTACATGTAACATTGAAGGGAACACTTGTTCAGATGTACAATGTATGGACATTGCCCAACACTTCAGCACTGCGAGGAGTCTGTAACAGGTGGACAGCTGCACAAATTTTACAATCATACTTGATATGCACTCTTCATTTAAAAAACAGTTTTTCTTTCAGCAGTCTCTCTCTTGTGAGCTCTGACTTGTAACAACTACTCACTCATCCAGTTCTGCAAAAAACTTTTGGTGGATGCACATCTGGAGTTTGTTGTTGTGAAAGTTTCATGCGTAGCATAACTGGTTTGTCCTCTTGTTACAGAGGTCATGACAAGTTTGTTGGGGACGTCCAATCTACCAAGTTTTGCAAGAGTCAACATGGCCGACGTGTCACCAAACGCCTCCCTCAACCTCTCCCAAATCTTCAGCTCCCCCCAGCCTGCCCCAGGGGGCTCCCCCTCCCCCTCCTGGTCCACCCTACCCAAGTGGTCCCACACCCCCTCCCCTGTCAGGTCCAGACCCTCCACCTCCCCTGACAGCAGCCCACGGTCTCCCCGAGGTCTGATGGAGTCTTACATGGGACACTCCAAAAAGAGCATCTCCCCCGTCAAACCCTCACGAGAGATCCGCATCACACCTAACATGCTGGGCATGCAGGCAGAACCGGAGGCAAACTTAGGAGATATCGAACGGAGGTATGGTTCTCAAGCTGTCTCTTTGCACCTGAAGTTTTTTTGAATTGGACAGGTGTCTGAAACATGAAGCTGGATAAACGGAGTAATCCAATGTTGTGCAAAGCACATGTAATTTTGCTATGCATGTGGATTGTAGTCATAGAGATTGTGTTGCATTAATTTTGTGTTGCTTGTTAATTGTTTTTTTTTTTTTAAGAAAAAAAAATTGTTGTCTTTGTGTATGTTATAAAAGTGCCACCATAGGCACTGTTGTCTGCATGTACGTTTAACCTGATTCACTTTCTCTTAATTTCTGTACTTTTTCTGTACCTGCTTGCCTCCATTGCATGCCAACCAAAAACTTTGGTCAGAATAAGATTATTGGACAAACGGATCTTTGAAAGGTATTTGGTGTCCGGTTTTAAAGAGTTACAATGTATCAATGATAAAATGTAGAAGTAGCATGTCAGAAAGAATATTGATAATGTTACTCTTCTTAGTTTCCAGTAATGGTAATGGCTGGTGTTAGAAACAATGTTACAGTTGTAATAGAAGTACAGACAAACCTGTACAAGTGACCTCAACATACAAAGACCGCCTGACCAATGTGACCACTTTTTGGTGGTGACTCTATATAGAGTCTCCACCAAAAAGTGGTCAAATCTGGCCTATGCAGACTGGAGTCTATAATGTCGACTCCTGTCTGCATAGACCAGGTTTTATCAGTCCCCTGAGTGGTCTTCTTGGGAACTTCTAACTGTACAATCATGTAGACCAATATTTGCAACAGGAGTACCAGGGTAATACACTCAAATTTGATTTGAAGATTGAGAGTAAAAGATAAAATTATGTTATTCCACTTTGGGTGGGTTAAATTACAGCTTCAAAGAAGTAGCCACTCCATATGTAGGTCACTACTGCCATTGTGCACATACATGTAGAAGCTGAAGTGTAGTTGAACAAATGTCGAACTACTTGCTATTCAGAATGCTGACAAGAAAATGAAGGAGAATCACTGATAAACACAGGAATTATGTTTAATGATATATCACAAGTTTCCCAGAGATGCATGTAATCTTACCAAATGTCCTGTACACAGCACTCCTCCAAAACAGCTGAGGTCACCGTTTGAACCATCCAGCATCAGATCACCAACCGTTGACCAGAGCACAGTCTCCAACAATCCAGCAGAACTGGACGCTAACCATTCATCAAAGACAATCGTGGTAAGTGGGCCAAAGAGTATAGGAGAACAGATAGTTAAATGTGCTTGCTCTACCCCTTAGTTTTACGTCAATAATGATTAACTCAGTACATATTCATTTCTGGATCTATCTGCTTTAAACCAACCTGGTTGGCTAGTACCTTGGTGCTTTCCTTGTTCTTACAAACATCAATGGCTCCCCCTAGGCCGCTGCCTTGTCACTGCAGCAGGAGGTGGATAAGTGGGAGGAGGAGGGCAACACCATCGTCAAGGTGGCCAAAACCATGTCTCAGCAGATGCAGCAGATGGCAGAGTACACTCGGGGGCATGGCAAAATCAGGGTCAGTTCTTATATATAGTCATGGGAATCCCAGATGTACAGATGGGTAGAGTTTAAACCATCTGTAAGGGACTGACAATGAATTTTAACATTTCTGTTATTGTATTAAAGTAATTATTATTGCTATCATTTCATCATTATCATTGCCATTATTATTATCTATTGTATCTTAATTTTATTGCTTGTATTTTACTGTATGTATTCTACTTGTTTTATTTATTTTTTATTTATTTTATTTATTTTATTCACATGGATTTTTGAGCATTGGATAGGAAGCACTTGTTGTGCTTATGTAAATCCGCTGCTCATAAAACAATACAAATGTAATCATAAAGATGACATAAAGTATAGCATTAACATAAAATGAAAGTGTTTTATTTATGACACAGGGTCCCACTGTAAAGCAGTGTATTTGTTAACCACTGAACTGGGCAAGCCTGGATAAAAATGATGGAAAATAAGATAAAAATTAATAAAATAGTTATCATTTAAAACTGACTGTTGCTTTGGAAATTTTCAAACCATGTATATTGTTGTTATGAACTAAGTTAACTAACACATGATTATCATTGTACAAAACCTCTACAGACCAAGGAGGAGTTCATCAACACAGCCAAGGCCATTGCAGCCAATGGCACTGTCATCCATAAGTTTGCCAAGATCATTGCCAAGTACTGTGTAGACAGGAGGTAAGAACTTCTATGGCTGAATTAGAGATAGAGAATCCAGAGCATCAGCTTGGAAGCCCTATATAATTTGTGTATAGTGTTAGTGTTCTTTTACATTCCATTTAAAACATGCTTCCTTCATATTAATTGCTATTGTTATCAAGATATTTGGTTGGAACTGTTGGACAACAGTGTTACCGGTACCCTGTCCAATCTTTTCATCCTAAAAACTTCAGTTCTTTTTATAGAGAAATGAGTTGCAATCCCTCTGTCTCTTCTCTCCCACTCCAGATGTTCAGAAGACCTGGTGTTTTATGCCAACCACGTCCCATCCATGGGAACCCAACTCAGCATCATTGCCAGTGTGAAGGCAGCTACTCCACATGACAAGGAGGTATGGGTGGAGACAAAACACTCTTGTGCTGTAGTATGCAGAGTCTAGCTGCTCTCTTTCTCTTTCTAGAGAGCACTTCACAGGAAGTGAGGGGGAAATGGTGTAACCATAGACTGCCAGGTGAGTCAAATTGGAGGTTAAAATGGTGTCCTTGCAGGCTGGGAGGAAGTGATTGTTAAATATGCACCAAATCAGCAACGAATTCACAACCCTGTTTATTTAATGCAGGCGGATGCTGTCCTGGTGAAGAATGCAGAAAACCTGATGCACTCTGTGACGAGAACTCTCATAGCTACTGAGTCAGCCTGCGTCAAGGTAACATGGCTGCTCCATTTGATAACTATCCAGGAATCCCAAATAACAGAATTAGCTACTACTCCATGGTGCTAAACTTTTTGAAAGTAAATCCAAGTGCTGGTAAATATGACTTTGCAGAGGCAGATGATTCTTTTTTTTACAAACCACTGAGCTGAACTGATTATTATGAGGGCCCGCATGGAGGGATAGTGATTACGGATTACACAAAATTTTTGCCACTGATTATGAATTACGTTAAATTCTCAGAGCTGATTGGGACTTTACGCTTTGCGGCTTATGTACTGAATACGAATTACGTTGATTATTGGGGAGTCTGCCTATACGGATTACTAAGACTAAAAAGGCCTGATTACACCTTACGGAAAAGGGCATGCAGGCTCTCTATTATGTCAAGTTAGTGAAGGTTAGACATCCAGGTAATGTTTTTTGGCGTAACTATTTTGTGTCCCACAGGGGTTACACCAACCACCAGAGGGGGGTGACGAAGCGGAGGCTGCTGCGCTGGCGACACAGTGGCAGAGGAAACTACAGCGCCACCGCATGATCGAGGCCAGCAGTCGTGACACGGACGACCTGGGCTTGAGAAGGATCAACAGACATGTGTCTGCTCCAACCTTGACTGAGATCCTGGGCGCTCGGGCCAAAATTCTCGGCACTGCTGTCTTGTAGTCTACACCACTTCCTCTATATTGATTCCTTTCTCTGTTTGAAAATAGAGATCCTTCCAAAAATACAAAACATTTTAAAGCACCCTTCTAGATCTGTAGTGCCTCTAGCGTCACTGCTAGGCAAACTCCTGAAGAAGCCTGACCAGTGGAAGGGCCTGCTACAAGTGTGTAGTCAGGCTATAGTGCCTTGCATTTCACACATAAATGTAGTACATTGTACATGTATGTTCTCTCATTTCCCTCAAGTCAATGGATTGGACAGATACATTGCTGTTCTCCCTCTTTCCCAGGGCAGAAATTTTCTATGGAAATACCTATAAATCAGTCAAGGGTATCTACATTTGTATGTCTATGCAATAGTTTCTTGATGGTTGTAGGTTTGATGTTTTACAAAACCGTCTGTCTTCTCAGCGGTATTTAATACTTGTTGATGTTGATAAATCAATGTATGTATATAAGTCAATGTGGAGGATTGCACCATAATGTTAGCTAGAGTTTGAAGGTATTCGAAGTATTTGGTATCAGACCGAAGATTTTTGGTATCGTATTGGAGTTGTAAATTTCTTGCAATTTGTCAGCTTTATCTTGAATTCTTATACCAAGTCCCCCCTTTCCAATGGATGGTATGGGATCTTTGACCTCTAGTTTGTATTCAGTCTATCATGCTTTTACATTGAGTGTTGATAACCATACTTGTAAGATAGAATTAAATAAGAAATGCGTTTTAGCTTGTATCAGTGGGATGGGACAAAAATTTACCCTGAATTTTGTAAGCAATTAGCTAGCAATCTAAACACCTTATTGATTTCTATCACATGCAAAAGAAAACATATTAAAGATTGGTATATTACACTACATGTCACCTTGAAATAAGACTACAACAGTACAAGAAAAACGACAATTGTCAATTTTCTCTTCCTGAATGCAGTGATGCCATTCTTTGTGTTACTCCAAACAATGGAGGAACCTTTGGACGCGCCCTTTTGGTTATACAGTATTATCGAGGAACGGTATAGGGGCGAGAGTAGTTGAGAGGTATAACGTGCCACATTCACATGGTGGCACATTCAAACGACTGTCATCGGGTTTTAACTAAATAGCAGTCAACTGACAATATTCATCAGAAATGACCTATGGAGGAGTCCAGTGTCATGTAATGGTGCGGTCACATTCGTCGTACGATTTTGATGCCGTAGAATTTGAATTTCGTGCCGACTGTGACCGAAGCAACCACCAACAAGGATCGAAGGCAGTGTTTTCCTAATTAACAAGGCCAATGGATCTAGCAGGACACGGCATGCACAACTATCCCAACGATGCCTTTAGTTTGAAACTTAACTTTTTACAACGTAACTTTTTTAAATATGTTCCCAGGCCCACGTGGTCCAAGACGAAGTAAGATACTCTAACGGATACACGATTTGAAAGAAAAACATGGGGCTCACGCAAGGTGACTCAGATTCGAGCACCACCGCATAAACACTTGGAAGGAAAGCGCTACTTGATGTGGAAATGGTAAGACTTGTCAGGCACGGAAAGCCTTCCTTTGCGGAAGCTGGATCAGCCGTCTGAGTAGATGAGATAAGGGGTGCTAGTAATATTTCATGTCATTAGCGCCACGATGTTGACCTACTTTTCTTTGAAGGTCAACTGTAAATTTCTGCCAGGAGTTCTAAAAGCGCTAACGGACAAGTAACAAGTAGAAGATACAAAATCCTCAAGGATTTAATATGCGCGACGGTCTCTAAGGTCCTCCAAGTACATCCTCTGTCAAGAGCTGTAAGCCTATTCGTTGATAAATTCACGAAAAAAAACTTTTTAGACAGATTGGACTTACTTGACAATTCTATTTTTGTAGTAACGATACATTAAACTATGTGGGAGAAAAATGCTAGGATTGTTTTTGGTAGTTTCCCCAATATTTGCGCGTTGTGAAGGATGCTTGTCGTTGGTCTGTATCAACTTTACGCACAGTTTGTTATCATGACGTCATTCAGCTGATGCGGCTTGATTTCGTAATATTAGCGTTTGCGGGCTCAGGCGTGAATGCAGGAAGACATTAACACATACTTTAAAAAATCACAATTGCACACACAACTATGAATCAAACTTTACATTAGTGTCAGAAAATCATTTTTTTCAAAGACTGAGAGTGCATTATTCCAAATTGACTCTTTCTACTCAAAAGTATAGGTTAGGCGTGTTTTCCGACTTTTTCAAAATGTAGCTTTTTTAGGTGTTTTGTCGGGCTTTCCATTTTAATGGGTTCTCGCTCTTTCAGTTAGGCCAGGATATCGAAAGAAAAGGCCGTCAAAATAGCAAGTCCGACGAAACGTCCAAGAAATCTATAACAAAACGTTCGTAGCAGTCCTAAACTTTGCTGAGAGAGGCAGCTCTCTGCATCCGTCCGTACCGTGTTGATCATGCGCACACTGTGGGTGGTACTGCAGACGTCCCGGCGGCAGGACCTTCCGGACAGGCTCGGCAATCTCCAAACACTGAGGACGTCAATTCTTTATCACAAATATCACACACGCACAACTTCCACTCACAAAGGATATGACTTTCCAGTGTTTCCACGTGTACCAAGAAATCGCTCTGCGATCTTGTAGCTATCGTCAAAGTCATGTTTAAATGACAGTTGACATTTAGTTTTATTTGTAAACTTCTGTTATCAGCCAAATAACGCCCCCGCCATCTAGCTGGTGTACTGCCAACTTTCAGATTTGCATACAATTATATAGGCAGGCAGAGAACAGGTAGTCGTCAGTAGCTACCCGTGTGCAGCTTGTGTTGAAGCGTGCCGGGGCGTAGTTCTGGAGTCCAGAAGACGTTTGGACTGAAGCTGACATGATGCACTTGAAGTTGAACAGAAGGGACCAGTTCACTCACAAAGCATTCCTTCTTGCAACCATACTAACAGGTAAGGGCCTGATCATATGCGTTGTGCGATCGTATAGGCAAATTGGGGACATTCTTGGGATAGTCGTGCATGTTCCCTGCAAAATTTAGCAGTTACGGGGGAAAACTATAGTAGAGCCTCATCGCAACTTATCGGCAGTTGTTAGATCTTATTACTGTCCCAACACGCTTGAAGATCCTACGACATCAAATATGACCTCGATTTCTATTTAGATTTGTTTTATTAGCGAATGGATTTTGAACCTATATCATCAGTATATGACGTTGTTACGACCGAAAAGTGAAAACGGGTGCATTTTGTTGAATGTCTGTTACATGCTAAGTTGAGTTGAGTTGAGTTAAGTTGAGTTGAGTTGAGTTGAGTTGATTGTATCATGATCATTCATACGTCATGATAATTCTTCAGGATGCTCCCAAGAACACGTTAGGTACCTTGGTTGGCCATATAGCAAGACGATATATTTTAATCAACATTTTGTTGTGTAATTTATGTGGTGAAAAGCCAACTCCATGACACATTCCGTCTTTTTCTCAAATAAATGTCATTGAACAAATATGAATACTGGCAAGGGCACTTGTCAGGGGGCAGACCTAATCAGTACTAGCCTCTACCAGGCTTCGGGAGGCGGCTGGAAAGAGTAGAAATTGGCCAAATAGAGAGATAACATGCCAGGGGAGTTGGTCCGCTAGAGAGTACAGTTTTCGGACCAACTCCCCTGACATGTTATCTTTCTATTTGCAATTGGCCGATTTCTACTTTTTTTCAGCCACCTCCCGAAGCCTGGTAGAGGCTAAATCCTTACGAGACGAACAGGACATCCGTTCTTTGTTACTTGTCCGTAGTTTCCTAGTCTCGTTAGCAAGATAGACGTACTGACGGGAAGGCCGTAACGCCCCCTTGCCACTAGATGCCGATCGCTGAACTACCATTGAGCGACCAAAACTGGATTTGTGTAAACCTTGTATAAAATATAATATTATGCACAACGTAAGAGTATGATGGAAAAGTCCACAAAACAAACGTTTTGACAAAAGTCGTTTTCTCTGAGTTAAGTTCGTTGAGCGATCTGTCGCTCGTCAACGGCTAAGCTCGGTTGCAGCCTCTAGCAACACGTGGAAAGGGAATGTAAGCGGATGTTTGCCTTAAATGGTAGCAAGTGGTTCTTTCATCGTACTTTTCTCGCACATACATAATACAGCAAATTACCCCGTTTAGGCATCGATGGTTTGCCACGATTTCATAGTTTCAGCCAAATTCATAAATTCTAATCAATCATATATTTTCAAACATTATCTATGGATGTTAGCAGGACAAACTTTTGCAGGACACATGCACAATATCTCCAGTTAGCGATCGCACGACGATCTGGCGACGTATTTGACCGCGCCTGATGCAGAGATATGGGCTTGGCGATGAACAAAGCTCAGAAACAAACCGTTTTGAGCACTCGGTTCCAGTAGCGACATTTGAACTGGCTCTGCCGCGCTTTCAGCTCTGGAGACCGAGTGCTGAGAGGAGTTCAGCTCTGGAACACCAGTGCGGAAAGGAATTCTGGAGACCGAGTGTTGAGACGACATTTAGCACTGGAATTCCTGTGCTGAGGGAGCTTCAGCTCTGGAACAGAGCCATTCAACTGGATTTCCAGTGCTGAACTTTTTTCAGCACTGAACTTTTTTCAGCACGATAATTCCAGTTCTGACGCAATTTCGCCCGCTGATTGCTGGAATTGGGACACCAATGCGGAGAGCGTTACTTTTGTATATTTGCTTTAGAATCGACATAATACTAGGAATCTGGTACTGTTACAACGTAAAGTACATACCTCCAACACTTTGTGTATTAATTTTGTACTTCTAGTATGCCGTGGAATAGCTGTGAACAGAAACGATGACACGTCCGTCGTGAAGCGAACAAGGCGAGCATCACAAGGTCAGGTTGAAGTTAACTACATTGTAATGTACTACATTGTTTTGTTATTTTCATTCTCATTCATTCCATACAATCCAAACAATTTAATCTGGATGAAACACGAGAACATTTTTGACTTGTTAATATCGCAGGCGAACCTTCAGTGTTTGCTGTTGACCTCACAGATCTTAAATATCAGCATTCAAACAATGCAAGCTGACTTCCTGTATCATGTTGGCGGCGATCAGAGATTATTCAAAATATGATTGACAGTCCCATTGTGAAGCAATGCTCTTGTTTCCAGCTGCTTCGAAGGTAAAAGCTGCCAATGTTTTGCTTGAATGTGCCTCTATATTTGGCACCTCTACAAATGTACGAGTAAGTGTTGAGGATATAAGCTGTGCAGACAGGAAATATTACTAAAAGATACAATAGTTTAACCCCCGTCAATGAATCAAGTAAATATTTGTTTTCAGTAAGGTGTATTTTTCACCCCCATCAACAGGATGTACTGTGAGAAGGTCTGAAATGGGAAAAACTGGAAATATTATACTTTCTATGTCATTTATAACTTTACTTTCCTTAGAAATTAAGCAGGTTCAATATTTTCAACTTGTGAATATTGTTTTGATTGCCCTAATATCTGGCACCTGTGGCTCAGTGTCTCTGATCCCCTCCCTCCTTACAGCAACATCACCTGACCCCTGTGATCAGGCCACCTGTGCCCCTCCTGGTCAGGGCTTCTGTAAGGCCATCAGTGACACACAATACAGCTGTCATTGTCTACCAGGATTCAAGGATGTCAACGGAGATGGCAGCGTTTGTGAAGGTTGTCCTCACAATCCCTTTCTTTAGAAGAAAAATTTAGCCTTTAGCACACTGAAGTAGCTCTTTAAAAATTGGCTCCCAATTCTTGTTTGCTTGCGGGGTTATTTAACGGTTTAGGTAGCAGAGCTAGAGAGAAGATGAAAGTGGGTTGCTGGAAAACATGGACCTGTCTGCACTGCGGAAAAAGCTGGTGCAGTCTGGTCAGGCGGTGAAATAAACAGTACAACATTTCCTACATGTAGTTACTAGTACATCCTAAGGCAGAATGTGGTAAAATCGCAAGCAGTCTGACTGCTTTTCCTACCCCCTGACCAGTCTGGATCACCATGTCACCATGTTTGAACCATGTCAAGATCATTTACAACTGGAACATCCCTGCCTCTTCCTCCCCCAGCCCTCCACCCTCCGGGTTCCTGGCAGCCTCCAGCAGACCCCTGTGATCAGGCCACCTGTGCCCCTCCTGGTCAGGGCTTCTGTAAGGCCATCAGTGACACACAATACAGCTGCCACTGTCTACCAGGATTCAAGGATGTCAACGGAGATGGCAGCGTTTGTGAAGGTTAAGATGTTTTTATGTAACAGAGCTTCAGATGATATGAATACAGTATAATGCAAAGGTTTTGATTACATGTATATGTGTGGTTTGTGAAATATCAGAAAGTTGCATCTTGGTCAGCCATACGTACTCATCAATTACATGTATAACAAGACATCAGAGATTTCAGACTTATGGGAGTATTTAGGGCTTTTGATACCTTCAAGCTCACCCCATGGCCATTTGAGTCTGGCCTTCTTACCTCGTGTGATTCTGTCACCTACATGCTTTCAACTTACTCCCAAGCTCACCCCATTTCCTGTGCCTGACCTTTAACCACTTATTCTGCCGGTCAATCTTCCTCCACCCACATGCTATCAACCTACTTTGTCCAAACAAAAACAGACACACAAGCTGACAGCTCGGCCACTCAAAACAATATTCTGTATCTGGAAGTAACAGTAACTCAGTATTGCATCATTCTCTGCCTCTACCCTCAGCCCTACACCCCCCTGGTGCTGCCCGGCCCCAAGCTGACCCATGTGACCGTGCTGATTGTGCCCCTGAGGGACAGGCCAAGTGTGTCCCCCTGAGTCCCACCAAGTACCGCTGCGAATGTCTGCCAGGATACATTGGGGATGGAAGAGTCTGTAAAGGTATGACTTCTGCATTTAGTCCAAAACATTAAATGTTGCAACAAACACATGGTAGAATAGAGTTCCCGGATCTCATATCTTTGCCATGATGTTTACCACCACTGAGAAAACTGCAATTATATATATAGTGAAAACAGGGAACCAACCCACAACACTATCTGTTCCAAACTGTACTGACTTTTGACAGCCTCTTTCAGCATCTGCAGAATCCTGCATACAAAGAATTATTAAATTTGTTTCCATATTAAAGCTTTTTGATTTTGTTGACTACCTACAGCAACTATATTCAGTCTACTACTACACAAATTTGTTTGGTCTTAACAGTTCTTTCAGGTACAAATGTACAGCCCTCATGAAATATATGTTGAGGTGACCAAACTGCTTTGTCCTGAATGATGGGTCGACATTTAACTCTTGCAGAACCGTCCTGTAAGACCCAAAAGTTGAAAGTGGACCTGGTCTTCCTGCTGGATGGGTCGGGTAGCATTGGACGAACCAACTTTCAAAAGCTGAAGGACTTTACCTCCCAGATCGTCAACACATTTGACATCTCCCCCACCCACACGCGGGTTGGAGTGGTGCAGTACGCCACGCTTCCCAACACTGAATTCGAATTGAACAGGTAAAGCAGAGTGACATACCTTGTCTTCAATGTGACTACACGTTTTCACTATGCTAATTTGTATAATGTAAATTTTCTTGATAGAATACCGTCACATACTTGTACTAGGAGCCTTGTAACTTCAAAATCATGCATGGAGAAGTGGGTAGAATTGCAGTTGATTGATTAATTGAGAAAGTTGACATAACCACCTATGTCCTTAAGCACAAACTAAAAATTAAATGTCATTTTAGGATAGTAGTCATGCATGTTGTATAATTATCATAAAATTCAGCTTGCTACTGAAAAGGCTGTCTATTAAAGATCAATGTCAGTGTCGGGGTCTGTCACAGCCTGCTCAAAAATTCATCGACATCAAAATCATACCATGGCCTACAACGGCTCTGACCATGCCATGAAACTGAAATAATAAGTTATTAACTTCCTAGTTTACACGCATCTTTACAGTTACTCTGACAGATCACATGTACTCTCGGCCATTGAGAGAATTCCTTACAAGAGGGGGAGCACCAACACTGGGAAAGCCATTGATTTCGTTCGTCGGAGGAAATTCATACCCACCAACGGTGACCGTGAAGATGTCCGGGACGTGTTGATTGTCATCACGGATGGAGAGTCGTACGACGACGTGGTGGACCCAGCCCGCCGCGCCGCACAGAGCGGAATCACTCTCTATGCAGTGGGGGTCGGCGACGGCGTGAATGACAGGACGTTAGAACACATTGCGGGGGATTCGAGTCGAGTTCTACATGTCTCCGACTATTCATCACTTGCCGCCATTGCACAAGAGCTTCAGGAGACAGTGTGTGAAGGTGGGTTACATTCAATTTGGTTACACTCCTAACCTACATGTATGTTCTGATATACCCTTAATCCACTCAATATGTTCTGACATGTTCAGTAAGGAGCGATGGACAAAGGGGTCAGAACAACTCAGTTGAAGCAGGTTTGGAATGATTGGTAGACATAATATCATAATGATGATGTGTTTTTTGAAGTTGTAGACTGATATGTTAGATATCATGTTACTTGTGAATATTTGTTCAAATCTATGGAGCTATAACAATAGTACTGGGACTAGCACGTCGGCAGAACGTACTGCGCCTGCGCAGAACCCTGGATTTTCGCGTTTTTAGTTGGATTTTTGGTCAACGTTGCATCAGAATTTTCACTGTTGCAGAGGATATCTTTTCTGACACAACATTTGGAAACTACTGTCAAAATGCTAACCTTATATGAGCAAATACGACCTTATATGAGACATTCTGCCGAAGTGCTATGTACAATACATTACGGGTTTCGCGCAGGTGCAGTACGTTCTGCCGACGTGCTATATGGGACTGCCAACATTTAACTGTTTTTTGATTGTCTTTCATGTTACCATCATGGTTTTGTCATCGGCTATGCAATTTTTGTGGGTAACATATAGGCATAAAAAATAGCCATAAAAATAATATTAAATTCAAATTGATGCAATCTTGCAGTTTCTTGTTGCTCAGGACCCTACACTGTATAATGTGTTTATTGACCACTATGAGTGAGTGAGTGAGTGTGAGTGAGTGTGTTTAAATTTGTTTGCTTGTTTCACTGGCAGGACCATACAAAAGTCTTGGCTGCTGGATAGACACCGAGGACCGTGCCATCGATACTTTGGAAGGGACGGACACTTTACTGGACACATTCAACTACCACAAACGTCCGAATGCCGTTCACAAGTGCTACCAGGTTGCCCTGAGCCGTGGTTTTACGGTGTTTGCCGTTCAGAATGGAGGACAGTGTTTCTCTTCCAAAACAGCACAGGACACATACTGGAAGTATGGCCGGTCACTGTCCTGTGGATATGATGGGAAAGGAGGACCCTGGTCAAACCAAGTCTACCAGATTGTTGGTAAGTTGAGTTTTCCAGTTAGTCTTTATTCTTGTTAATGACTATGAGCTATTTTGAATTTTTTCATATAACGCGTTACATGTATATTTATTAGTCAAATTATAATATGAAGAAATCTGTGGCTGACAGTTTTTGTATTGAGTGTACTCATTATCAAATGCCCTGGAATGAGAGAGTGAGTATAATGTTATTGACTAATTTATTATAATTGTGATGATAAAGTATCAAATTTTCTTCTTCTATTTTCAGCCATGAACAAGGTCACACCCACATTGCCACCAGGTGAGCTCAAGCAATGTCTGCATGAAAGATTTTAAAGATTTAGAACAAAATGGGAATGTGCATGTGCAAAATGGGAATGTGTTATACTCACAGTTATATGCAGGATTGAAATGTTGTATTTTGTCTAAACACTTCTTATTTATTGCATTAAAGCAAGAAGAGGTAATAAAAGGACTGATACTTAACTGATTTCAGTGTCCTGCTGGTGTGGTAGGAGAGGCTGAAGAAAGTGACTTGACGACAATGAATTTGTAAGGTTATCTCCTAATTGGTCTGTATTTTTCTTTATGCACTTAATGTTTTAATCAGTGGCTCGAGGTGCATACTGCCGGGCCTATGGTGATCCTCACTACCAAACCTTCGATGGGCAGAACTACGATTTCATGGGCATCTGTACCTACACACTGTCCAAGTATCAAAGTACAGCGAGCAACGATAACCTGAAGCCATTCAATGTGGAGGTCAAAAACGAGCATCGGAGGAACAACTTCCATGTGTCATACACGGCAGAAGTGTATGTTGATGTCAGTGGTCATCGCATCACACTACAGAAGGGGAGGAGGGTCTTGGTGAGACATTATGTTACTTACTATACTGTACAAAACTATTAAATTGTATATCAGATCACTCACTAAAATGTATGATAGAATGTTCACTTTAAGTATTAAAATTGTCAAAGTTTGAACCATGCTTCCTGGTTCTTCTTCTGCATGGTGTACTTTTTGTGTGACAAGAGTAAAAATATTCTACATTGTATATACATTGCTGGAAACATAAGACTTTAAGGACCAGAATTCATATTTGGAGGGAACGCAATGGTTACCATGCTTTTAATTCACAGCTCAGTGAATACAATCACAACTGTAAGTGATTCATGTAGTAGGGAATAGCTTATTTGTACTTTTATATCTTATTTGCATTTTTTATGATACCAGTCCATATTCCTCCTTGATCATGATATCCACCTTCCCAGGTTGATGGGGTGTTTACCAGGTTGCCGTACATGGGAGCGGGTTTCACCATCCACCTCCACGGTCGGCAGGTGGTGGTCGTCATGGACTTTGGTGTCCGAGTGGCTTTCAATGGACTGAACATGGTAGAGGTGCGACAGTGTCCAATTACATTTCTTAAATGTATACTTTATTTTACCATTCTTAACATTGGAAAGGTTGTATCTTATTTGTACCCCATGTGTTCACTCTCTCTCAGTTTGTAATATGTAAGGTAATAGTACATGATTGTACCTTTTATCGTCTGATTGGGGTCCGATTGTGCACTGATGGTTATTCTTGGCTTATTTTTGCACCCCTATGCTACGAACAATTTTCGTTCTGACCTCAAGCATTTAAGGCGAAATTCTCAGGACATAGGTTGATTTGTCCAAACATGGAGTTTATTACTGTCTTGTGTGTCCATAGGTGTATGCACCTCCCCCCTACATGGGGAAACTTGTGGGGATGTGCCAAGACTTTAACATGGACAAGAGTAATGACCTGATGAAAGCTGATGGCACACCGGCAGTCAGCTCCGCAGACATGGGCAACAGCTGGAACACTGATTCAGAGTATGTTTGTCAACATTCAAATTTTTGAGCTTTGTGGATTTAAATTAAGGATTTTCCTATATCATGTCCTGCTCATGTCATCTACCAAGGAGATAGATCCTTCTTGCGTCTACTGAGACATGATTCTGCCAGGTTACATATATCTGCCACCCTCTCCAATGTTGTATTGCTCTGCTGCAGATCTAAACTCTGCATACCCCAGGGACTGTGCTAGAGTCTCAGCTCTCAAACACACAAAGTGGCAAATATACCGGTATGACTAACCTTAGCAGATAAATGTTGATGCAGGTTATAGTATCAGGTGTCTCAGACATGATGTCACTGAGAATCGTGTGTTCTGTGTTCAGGTGTAGAGAGATGGAGGATGAGTATGTGTTCAACTGTCCTGCCAGCATCGAGCGACGTGTGAAGGACAAGTGCAACGCTCTGCTAGACCCTGACTTGGAGTTCTCAGCCTGCCACTTACTTTTGGATGCTCAGGTAGTTTTCTTGAACACAGAGTTCACATACGATTGTCCTCCAGGTCCTTTAATATCAGTCCTCTAGCATATACATGTTTTGGAATCTACCTCCAAAAAAAGTTGGAATGAATGCATGGGTTGTTGGAAAATATGGTCCAGTCCAGACTTGTTAGGCTGTTGAAAAAGCAGTATGACCTTTCCTGCATCTAGTTGATATGAGCTCCCTGATAGAAAGAGGTAGAATTGCTGCACTGAAATGTTCTTTCCACCAACCCCATGTGTGACTTGTTTCATTCGCCAACAATTTGCTGCTACATTTGTGAATGTATATTGATTAGAGCAATCCTACAGAGAAGAATAAGCCAGGCAATCTTTTACATTGTACTTTTTTTTCCTTTTTTGGGGATACCTCTTGATCTTGAATGTTGATCAGTCTATTGTGTAAATAGCATATTATATTAGTTACAAGCAACAACATTTAGAAAACTGCTTGTTGTTAGCTAACATTTGAAGTTGCCAAAATTAAAAATTATAATTTCCATACCTGACAGATGTACACTCAGAACTGCATAATTGACATGTGTGAAGATGAAAGTGAGGAGCATCGGTGTGACAGCTTTGCCACCTTTGCGGAGGACTGTGCAGAACATGGTGTTGTTATTGACTGGAGAAGTGCAACAGGGTGTGGTGAGTAGACACAAAGGTCATGGTCATTTAGAGCAGCTTTCATAAAAAATGGCTGAACAGCATCTTGTCAGCAGAATTCATGTGAAAGTCATGGAATGTTCTTTGGTGAGAAAGCAGAAAAATCTGCTAATGCTAAATTAAATATGTTGGATAAATGTTTAGATTATCAAACTTGATAATACTTGATAATTAGTACCCAGGTATGGATGAATATTGTCTTGGGTATGTTTGTGAAATTGTGCTCATAGGTATTTTATGCAACTGCAGATTGACTTTAAGATCAAGTTGGTAGGAAGCTGGCTCCAAACATGGAAGTTTGGCAGTTTGGGTTCGTCAACATCAAAGTTTATGCCTTACTAGGCCCATCGACAGACCATCTCTTTAGTACTAAGTAAATTCTGGAGGTTTGAAATCTCTGACCTCTTGTAATATATGTCTTCTTCGTACTTTGACACTCATAGCACATGTATCTCATGTTTCAGACTCCCTTATGAAATGTCCAGAAAACAGTACCTACAGTACCTGTGTGAGTCCCTGTCAGGCAACATGCCGTGACAACAACCCTGCAGACTGTGCCGGGGAGAGGTGCCTGGAAGGCTGTCAGTGTAAGGAGGGATATGTGCTCAGTGGGGAGACGTGTGTGCTGCCCCAAGACTGTGGGTGCTTACTGTCTGATGGGCGGTACTATGAGGTGATTAAAAATGTTTAGGTTGAAGCTTGTTTGTTGGTTATAGCATTAAAACTATTCCCAAACTATCCACATAGTCCATGTCCTTGGTGCTGAATCCAACTTCACAGTGAGATTATTAAAAATATTGCCTTGCTCTTTTTGCACTTCCTTTCACTTGTATGTAATAGCTGGATGTGCTTTAGGTGTACAAGTCTTGTGATGCAAATATTCAGCAAGAAGAGAATGTACATTGTATGGATTTGAATTTCTTGTTTGTGTAAATGACTGACCAAAAATGTCAACATCAACACCCAAGATGTTTGTTTGCATCATTTTGAAAAGCCACTACAGTAAAACCTGTACAACTAACCACCTTTACATGAGGGCCACTTTCTGGTTGTCCTTTAGATACAGGAATTAAGAATCCTGCCTATAGTAAACACCTGTCCACATAGACCAGACTTAATGGGTCCCCTGAGTGGTCTTCTTGGGCAGTTTTGACTGTATGTTATCAACATGATATTGATTAATATGTTGTCACATCTTCTCTCCTAAGATAGGAGACAGGTGGGGAGAGATCCGGACCCGTGGAGACATCGGGGAGACGAGAGAGTGCGAGTGTCGCCGTGGAGACCAGGGCGCAGAGCAAGTCTGCCTGACTGTCCGCTGCCAATCACCAAACACATGGACCCTGATGGACGGAGTGCTGGGGTGTCACTGCCCAGGCTGTTTAGATGGTAGGGAGGATAAGCTTCTGCACATGTGTTATATATATATATATTACAGCACAGTCACATTTGTGGTAGGTCATTCTACAATTTCATAGGAATTTGAAGCAGGCTGTGAAAGGCCCTGTTCAGACAAAAGCGGTGGAAGGGCAATTTGGGTATTATAAATAAAACAGCACACCTCACATCTGGTCTGCATACCACACATTTCTTTGGAATTGTGCCTAAGCATGATTCAGCTAAACTATAATCATTGCTGTTTGATGAAAAGATGCTAGGTGATGTCATATCAATGTCAGAGGTCTTCGGTGGAATCTGAATCCAATGCGTTTCCAGTGCTTTCATCTGAACAGGGCTATAGTCAACAAGAAGACAGCTGAACAGTGTATGCCACCTGCATGACTAGTCAAATAACCCAAGGTTTGAAATCTCTGATTTCTTGAATGTGTTTTACAGATAAAACTCCTGTCCTGACGGTCAGTGCTGTGCAAAATTACTGTGCAGCCTTTGGTCAGTCCCACTATCAGACCTATGATGGGAACCTGTTTGACTTCCCCGGCACCTGCCAGTACCTTCTGACTGGAGACTGTAAGGCAGAGTTGTTTCAGGTGAGATGTCATGCCATACAGTTGTATGTATGTGCATAATGTAGTTATGTATGTCACTTTGAAATTCCTATTTCTATTTTGGAACAATAATGCAAAGAAGGCATGGGGTTTTCAGGAAAAATGCCAAATTTAATATTTCATTATGCTAATCATGCCTTTGGAGCCATTCAGTTAATAATTGGGCTTTTTTGGACATGAAAAATCAAGGTTTATTTTAGATTAACATTTCAGTCTATTAAAAGTAATGTTGAAAGCAATGTGAAAATAACTGGGCTGAAACAGTGTAAGTCGTAAGCTTACAGTGTATATTTTTTTAATTTTCCATACATAGAGTTGCTGATAACTTCTTGTTTATCTTATCTTTGCCACAGCTGCTGTTCCGAAGTGACATGGACTGTGTTACCCATGATGCACCATGCAGACATGAAGTGCACCTCTACATGCCTTCCTTGACCTCTGACCTGACATTACAGCAGGACCATGTGGTCACCATGGGCAACCAGACGTGAGTACTAATTATTGTTTTTCTAAAAGTAACTTTGCCATTTGAGATATGATACAGGAATTCTCAGAATCAGTTACAATGAGATAACAAGAATACCTGGTAACAAAATTCAAAGTAAATATCTATTTTGCATATTCATGCATAATATAACATCATATTTGTACTGTTTGCCTCCAGATTGTCTCTACCATTTGTAGCTAGAGGTCTGATGGTTGAGAGAGTCGGAGATTACGTTCGAGTAGCGATCCATCCAGAAAGAAAGGTACTGTATCATTGTATTGAAGACCTCTTTAAATGCAGTTTGCAGGGTGGCAGATATATGTGACCTAGCTGACAGAATTATGATGAGAGTAGATGTTGCTCTACAACCTGTCTGCCACTTGTTTTTGCAGGCTGTTGTTTATTGGGATGGCTACTCCAGTGTGTACGCCTACCTGGACCCCTCACTACAGGGACAGATGTGTGGGTTATGTGGAAACTCAAATAGAAACCCTGATGATGATTTCACACTGCGATCAGGTTGGTTTTCTATGGACACAGGTTCTTTTTTTTCACAAATAATGGCATTTTTATGTTACATTTTTATATTATATATATATATACTGTATAAAATTATTGTAACAGCTGCCTAAAGTCTTTGTGTTTCCATTGAAATTACCAGGTTCATCGTCAGAAATCCAAGGTTTTAGTAAGGGTTTTCTAGCATACTAAGGCCACACCAATTTAATTTGTTGGTTCTCAGATTTTTCCAGAAAAAATATGAAGCGACAGGGCGAAAAAAAAATAAAAATAAAAACAGGTCTAGGCATCCTATTATAGGCTTAAATGCTACGGAATGAGCCATGAAGTCAACACAAAAGGCTGGGTTAAAATTTAAACATTGAATTTTGAACTTTTAATCAAACCACTGCAATGATAGATGGGAAAACTGTAACAACTAGGAAGAAAAGGACTTTCCTCAACTGTTGGGGGCAAAACATGAGCATTTTTCAGTTGATTCAGGACCAGAATCAATTTTTTTTTTTGCAAATCAGAAAAAAATGAAGAGGCGAATCCGAGAACCAACAAATTAAATTGGTGTGGCCTAAAGTCTATTTGATTTTTTATTTTGCAGGGGTTACTATGTCCAGCCCCATAGCTTTTGGGAATAGCTGGAAGATGACAGAGGTGGATGAGACCTGTCCAGATGTGCCATTCGAAAATGTTGGTGCTTGTGACACACTGACAACAGAAGATCTCGCGGTCAGTGCAATTCCTTGTAGTGCTTTGAAAAAAATGCAGACAATCATTCAATATGACTACTCTGACTAAGAGCTCTGACTTCTTTTTACCTCTTTGTGTACATAGGTTTTGTTTTCATTTTAGTTATTTCAAGATATTATAGTGGCTTCCATTGTACTAATTTTCATAATTTTGTACTTATAAGTTGTTCTTGTTGCAATTTTTTTTATGTTTTCTAGGAGATTCAGGAAGTTTGTGATGTTATGAAGCAACTGGAGTCCTTCCAGCCCTGCCATAAGGATGTTGATCCCTTCCCGTACATAGAGACTTGCAAGCTCGACATGTGCAGATGCAGCAATGGCAGCAGGTCAGAGGTCCATCTTATACCCCTATATACAGAAGTTACCTCCAGAAAATAATAATGGGGAATAGCCAAAAGATTTTTGAAATCTGCAAAACAACTAGGCTTCATTTACACTGAATGGTATAACGTTAGTAAGCATGTTAATTTTAAGGCTAATCGGGTTGATAGAAATTTGTTCTATTCTCAGCATGTTTCTTGATATAATTAAGTGTTGTTTACAGTAATAGTGGCCGTAGATTGCTTTAATATACAATACCACAATAATCCTGACAGTTTGATCTATGTTACTTCCTCGGCTCCAATAGAAAGGACTGCATGTGTGATGCCCTGACCCAGTACTCACGTGCTTGTGCTGCCCATGGGATATCTCTGAACTGGAGGCAACCAAATTTTTGTGGTACGTGGACTCATTTCATAATTAGGGAGTGATAGAAAATGTGCAAGTGAAAGAGGTGTCAACAAAAAGAGCAAGGCATCTTTTTTCTTAAATACCACTGTGAGATGTGATTCAGCACCAAGGACAGGCACAATGTAGACAGTTTTGATACATTTTTACTTTAACCACTTGGTAACCAATTAACCAATGTAGCAGTACACATATGATTTGAACATTATATAGGATTTAAAGGAGTGACATTAGTTTGGAAGAGTTTTGAATACAGCAATTAAGATGTATGATGCATGAATATATTACATGTATATACAATTTTGTTATCGGTAAGTTTGTTTGCTTGCCTGTGTGTTCATATTATTTGACTACAGTAGAGTCACAGGAAGTAAGGGGCAAACGGTACAATGTATTCTCACAGACTGACAGGAACGTTGAATTGGAGGTCAAAATACACAGAAACAGAGAGAAATTCACAACAATAAATGAGAAATTCATATTAACTACATTTCTATTCCAAATACTTCTCTGTGGTGTTAAATTTTTGATTTTATATTTATGTTAGGTAAGGTCTGCCCCAGTGATATGGTGTATGATGAATGTGGCACGGCCTGTCCTGGGACGTGTCAGAACCCTGAGCCTGATGAGGACTGTAAGGACAGATGTGTGGACGGCTGCCACTGTCCAGCTGGGGCCCTGTGGAATGGCACACAGTGTGTGGGGGTGAAGGACTGCCCCTGTGTGCACCAAGGAAGGAACTACAGACCCGGGGACACTATACACCAGGACTGCAATGTGTGGTGAGTTAAATAGTCTTGTTTATCAGATTCTGTAATAAAATGACTTGATGATCTAAGCAATACTCTTACAGACCTTTTTTTTATACAGATGTAATTGAGCCAGTAAATTGATACTCAAAAGACAGTAATATATCCAACTTTTTTAATAACAAGATTGCCATATCAATTAGCAGCTCCAATTAGTGAGGACAGAATTACATTCAGACTCATGACATAACTATGGTGTAAGGGGCAATATTGTTATGTTCAGAGAGAAAGTTGCATGGAATGAATCTGATTGAATTCTCCTTGATATGTTTCTCACAGTACCTGCATGGCCAGGAAGTGGATCTGTACTGAAAACATCTGCCCAGGTCAGATTTCATATAACATGATACATGATTCATTTCATATCCTGTTTGGTATCAGGAATTATTGAAATTTAGTTTTTACAAGGCATTAGGTTTCAATATTGTTGAGTTTCTTTAGGTTCATCTTTTTATGATTGATGATATTCACACATTATAGACATACAATGTACCTTTAACCATTTTTTAAAATCTGTGTACATAAGTGTTATTTTGGGTGGCTGATTTGTAGATGGGGAAGATTGACAGGCTGAATGAAAGGAGGTCAAAGGGTCCAAAATCTGGCCAGGAGCCATCAGAAGTTAGAGGTCAACATGGGGAAATTCAGGAAGCTTAGGATTTCATACCTCCTGGGATTTTCGAAGTCTGAAATCCTGATTTCTGTTTTACATAATGTGATGAAAAATCCTTTTATCCTTTCTCAGCTACCTGCAGTGTCCATGGTAACCTACACTACAGTACATTTGATGGGAACCACTATGAGTTTGGCAGTGCTTGTCAGCATGTTCTGGTGAAGACTGACAAGTTCACTCTCATTTCCAACAACCAACAGTGTGGAACAGACCCTAAAACAGCCTGCACTAGGTCAGTTGTGAAGGTGTCTGTATGTTACATGTATATACATGATTGTGTAAATGTATGTAATAAGATACAGTTCTAAAATCATAAGCTTTACAATCGAAGTGTGGGTTCTTATATAAACAAGAAAAAGATACAGTCACTGTGCTGAATGCAGAATGTTTCTTATTTGATAAGGCCTACGAAAAATGTGTTTCTAATGTCAGTCCTCCCCTAGCTTATGGGTAAGGGACAAATATTTGAGCTATTGACCTGACATATATGACCTGATTTTACCTAAAAATTGCAAAAATTGCAAAATGAAAATGCATAAAAATGTTTCAAGGTATGTGAAAGTCAGATAAAAAACTAGAAAGGCCAATATTTGCTTTGGAGCAAATATAGCGATGGGTTCACCACATTTTACCACATGGCAGGGAAAGAATGAGAAACACAAGGGAAAACAATGCTTTACATTGATATAACTATAGTATGAAGTAACATACAACTAAGACTACAACAGTTGGATAGCTATTCCCTACATTATTGGTTAGGATTGCATAATGCAAACTGTTGATTTTCAAGATAAAAAGAAGCGTTCATAGCCCGCATTCCAATGCTGGAGCAGGAAAGCTTAAAATACCTACCAAAACACTTGAATACAGACATACTGTCAGTATGGCATGGCTCTGTGCAGGTGTAAATGAAGTTAAGCCAGTTAAATCCCAACAGCCAATCAGCAAGGAGAATAGAGGAAAGCTGCATGCCTATTGGTTGATGCCTTGCATGCCATTGTGATGACTCATGTCCAAATGTGGTAAACACTGCACACTTACACAGTAATACATTAGCTATTACACAGCCAAAAAACTCAAATAAAACCATTCTAAAAGCCTGTATCACAATAATTTAAAAACGCCTAGGGGTATTTGCCCACTGTACCTCCATACCAAATTTCAGGACCTTAGGCCCTAAAATGAAGAAGCTGAATCCATTTAAAGATATGGCAGGAGGAGGAGAAGAAACATCAGAAAAAGCCATAATTATTGTACTTATATTGTACTTAATTGTTGCTAGCAGTTGAAAAAAGGCTAGGGTTGGCAGTTTTTTTCTAGGCCTAATTTGTGTCACCAAGTGGTCCACTTGACTCATTTTCCATGATTCAATTATGCAATGTATGTACTAGTACGTATATCTTCTTGTGATCCTACTTCTACAGATCTGCTACCCTATCTATACATGGTGGAACTGCAGGCAGGATCAGACTTCTTCAAGCAGGATCTGTCTCTGTTGGAAACATCTCAGTCACCCTGCCATACTATGGAAGTATGTAGTGCTGTATAATGTTTTGTTTTGTGTTTCTATACAAGTCTGTCATTATTATAGAACTCATAATATTGGAACTTTTCATGGGCACAGCTCACTTCTGTTGCTCTACAAAATGTTTTTGCAGTACAGATAGAAAAAAATTGATCTTCTTGTTTCAAAAATGCTGTTACAGTAGCTTGCCACCTACATGTAGTTTGCCAATAACTCAGAGATGTTCAAGAATCTGGAATAACCTATAAGTCTTATCTTGAAGAAGCTTTAATTCATGACGTTGTCTTTCAGCTGAATACACCATCTATCAACCGTCATCTCTATACGTGGAAGTGAAGACAACCTTTGGCCTGACTGCCCTGTGGGATGGCAGGACAAGTCTCTATGCCACAGTATGTTCCACAGTCTTATATTTAAGTCTTGCACCTTGGTCCTTTTTACTACGTGTAAGCTGATCTTTCACAGATACTAATGCCTCAACTAGAAATGTCCAGAACCAGAAAGTATCAATTAATTCCAATAGCAATGGCCCCAAATACTACCAAAACAGCCACAAACTCAACATACTTTGCCGCCTTATAATTCAAGCATTTAATCAAATCACTGCATTCATAAACTGTTAACTTAGGAAGACAATAACTTTCTTCAGCTGTTGGTGCCAAATATGGGCATTTTGAGTTTGATTCAGAACCCATATAACGTAAATATACACGTTTCTTTTGCAAATCATAAAAAAGATGAAGCAGCTGAGCTCGATAACCAGGAAATTGAATTTGGCAAGACCTTTGGTAGCATGCATATAATTATGTAATATTTTCACTTCTGTGTCCTAGGTTACTGCAGAGCTGTACGGTAAAACCAAGGGTCTCTGTGGGACGTTCAATGGGAACCAGCGTGATGACTTCACCACCCAGAGTGGGGTCGTGGTCGGCTGCCCTGCCGAGTTCTCCTCATCGTGGAAGGTCTCACACCAATGTCCTGATTCCTGGCTAGAGAGAGGGCTGAGTCCCTGTGCCATCAATACCCAACGTGGTATGTGAGAGTCATGTTCTTCATTGAATGTGAAACTTTGTCATTATTACGTCAGATTTCAGTATTCAAATCAAGAGGGGGGGTTAATTCTGCAATTGTTTTCACCAGCAAATTTGTACAAATATCAGACTTTAAATTGTTGTGCAAAGATTTCAAGTGCTGTACTTGTATCACATTTACATAAATTCATGCCTTTCTCACAAAAAATTGTCTCACTGCATGATATTGTGCAGTACATGCAGATTTGAAATATTGTACATAATAACTGTATTTCTTGCATATGAATGAACAAAAAGAGTATAAAATTTCATCACCTGCATATCAATTCTGATACTCATTCATACACTGGATACATTTGTCTCATTTGACTCATTCTCGGTCACTGAGACATAGTTGCTTGATTTATTTTGTAGCATGGATTGTATAAAAGTTTTTCTGTCTGTTTTGCCCCACCAGCACAGTTTGCTGCAGAACAATGTCGCATCCTGCTGGGTCCTCTGTTTGCACCCTGCCATGACCTGATTGACCCGTCACACCAGATCGCCCATTGTCAGAATGACGTGTGCCAGGGAACTGACCCGACCACCTTCCTCTGTTCATCTGTTGCTCACTACGCGAGGGAGTGTGCACAGAAAGGGGTTGTTATTGACTGGCGGCCAGGCACACTCTGTGGTAAATGGATTCTTCCTTGTTTAAATAAAACCCTTAGCTTTGTTATAGTCTTTTTACCTTCTTGAATTTTGAAAACCAATACAGTTTGTTGAGTGAATACATTGTAGATCAAGCCCAAAGCCCTGCAGAAAGGCAAAATAAAAACATAGAAATGCAGACATTTGCTGGATGCACAGATAATATCTCATTGGCCACACTGTTAACTAGTATGCTATTGTTGGTTGTAATGGACAGCCAGGATTGATCTACAAGCCCACAGATATGAGAGGAAAGTCCTTATTAAGAACATCCGTATTTTCAGCACCAAGGAAAGAGTTTGTAAGTCACAGGTTGTGATGCCTCTTGGGCCAGGCTGCTAATGGCATGCTAACTCTGGTCTGGATGCTGCTCAGTATCAAAGTGTACTGTTATTAGGGCAAAAAAAAAACTGTTTTTGCCAAGTTTGCTTCTATCTGGAAACCTGAATTGGAATAAATCCTTAATGGTTAGGTGTTTCTGTCAATCGATTTGCCACAGAAATAGCTCATTCAAATTAATAAATTCACACTTTTATGTACATGATAATAAGATACACACATGACATTGGTATGAGCTGTGTCTTTACATCTTCACTTGTATTGGTACAGCTGTGGAATGTCCCACAAAAGTGCAGGTTTGGCAGGAGTACAGCTCCAGCTGTGAAAGCAGCTGTCGCCAGCTGTCAGAACCTATCTCCAGCTGTACAGCTGTGGCTGGCTGTAACTGTCCATCAGGACTGTACCAGTCAGAGGATGGGTCCTGCGTGCTAGCCAGCGAGTGTCCATGCTTCCACCAGGGAGAGGTTTACGAGGCACAAACTACAGTAGAGTTTGCTGATACATACTCCAGATGGTGAGGAACTCTTGATACATATACGTACTCTATACTTGAACTCTCTTAAATATACAACCTTCTTGATTTTAGTGTAATGTGTATAAATCCCAGTCATAATTCAGACTCAATAAGTGGTATTTTCAATAAGACTTCAAATATTTGAAACATTGTCAAGTGTACATGTTGCACTACTATTGGACCTTTCAACTGTTCAATTGCACAAGTATTTTGCTTTAAAACAAACCTTAGTGGGGGGAAATTACTGTTAGTTATTCTTCCTAAGTGGTGCTAATTAGAATAACTGAGCCAGTCACATAGAATGGATATCACTTCGGACATTTTGTTGGATACCAGCAAATTAAAACTAACTAGAGTTCCACGATCTCATACCTTCGCCAAATGATGTTAGCCTTTATGACTAAGAAATAATAGATTAATCCCCCTGATTGTGCAAATAGGATCCTATATTGCATCAATTATATCTGCTGATCATATTCTATACCAGAAGACAGTCTTATCTTATCAATGCATGCCATTATAGCATGTCCTCATAAATTATGCAAATGAGGTCCTTATTTGAATAAGTTATGTTTAATTATGTTCACCTTCACATAACTTTCAAATATCCCAAGTATGAAATTCCAGACATTACCAATATGTAATTATAACATTTTCTCACTAATTATGCAAATTAAGTCTTCATTTGCATAATCAATATCTTCCTGTATTTCTGACGTTCTGAATTACATATGTCACAAGCTTGAATAGTCCTATCATGGAATGCAGCTGATTTATAGAATTTCCTCATTAATTATGCAAATTACATTAATATTTGCATAATTGTAATATTATTATGTCATGCATCACTTCAGCTACCTACATGCCAAAACTCAGGACGATCCATCAATCGGTTCTTGAATTATCCGCCTTTAAACAGTTTTCAACTAACACCCCTGCAGTTCCAGAGCAAGCAGCTAGGGGGCCCAAACTCACGTCACTTCTTCCCTATCACAAGAGCTACCTACCATCCAAATTTCGTCAGCCTAGCATGTCTAGATCACAAGATATCAAAACCGGAAGTTCAGCTGCAGTACCATAACAAACCGCTAGGTGGCCCAAAATCTAATCAGTTCCACGTCTCATCAAGACCTACCCACCTACTAAATATCAAGACAATCCATCCAGGCGTTCTCGAGTTATCGTGCTCACACACACACACACACACACACAGACACACGAACGCCTCTGAAAACATAACCTTCTTGGCGAAGGTAATGAAAGCAAAGGATGCCACAATGTTTGTACATGTAGATCCCAATTACATACTGTTTTTATTTGTAAACAGCTCCTGTGAAAATGGTGTGATGTCTTGTGAAGTGAGACCAATTGGTAAGTTCAGCATCAAGTCATACCTTTTATTTCTGTTTTTTGTCTCAATAACTTGATTGAGAAAAATTGAAAAATGGTTTGTAAGACCGTACAAATCTTGTGCATATGTACCCTCATCCTCAGAGAAGGAATGCTTCAATGAGACTGTGTACTTTGACTGTGCCGACGCTGGAGATGGTGAGTTTGGGCTGGGATGTGAAGCATCTTGCAGCAACCCAGCAATGGACTGCCCGCTGGACAACAGCTGCATTTCAGGTGAGTAAATGCCAAAAATGATCCTTTCATTGATTATGCCATTGTAAATAAGCTTCAGAATTCAGCCTAGTAGTCTACTTAGTACCTAACTTTTTTCTCCTGCTTGTACAGGCTGTGTGTGTGCTCCAGGCCTACTGAGGCACCAGGACAGGTGTGTACCACGGCAGGACTGCCCATGCTGGTACAGTGGACAGGAGCATCAGCCGGGAGAGTCCATCTCTGTGGACTGTAACACATGGTAGGGACTTTGGTTTGGGAATAGTTTTGTGAAGCTGTTTGCATTAGGTTCTTTTGGTACAAATGTATGACACTTCAATGTTTCAAGAATTGCTTCAAAATAATTGTGTGCACTGTGTGCCCTGATCCTGTGCAGCTACATCTAGCCTCAAGCCCTCTGTTATCTCTGACAATTAGGCTCACCCCTGAGGTGTTGCCAAAAACAGATCTTCATGTAATATGTATGTAAGTACATACATGTACTATACTATTAGGCATGCCTCTGAGGCACTGCAAAACAACCGTGTTTAATTGGTTAAACTGTGTGAATATGTCATTTCCTGACAGTACCTGCAGCCATGGGTCCTGGAGCTGTACAGAGCGTCGCTGCATGGAGACGTGTGCCGTGTATGGAGAGGGCCACTTCCTCACGTTTGACGGCAGGCGATACCAGTTCCAGGATGAGTGTAACCATATCATTGCCCAGGTGACGTCTCATTTTGCATATGTACCATGCAGAGTTTCAACTTCTATGTATGGATACCAAAATTAGAGTGGAATACAAAGTACAGTATTTTGAGCAATATTTGACAAATTTCCCAACAAATTTTATTGATAAGAACAATTTTTTACATGTTGTGTGTTTTTTTGTCTTCTTAACCATTGTTTTACATCTTGCATCATTTTCCAATTAATAAAATTAAGGGTCCATCACACAAATTCAATTTTGGTCACTGTATGGGGTTGCTTATTATAAACGATCACCCTGTGTAGTGAAAAGGGAGCTTTTAATTAACAAGTTCCATATTGTCTTGTACAGGACCACTGTAATGACAGACAGGGCACGTTCAGCATCCATGCAGAGATGCTCCCCTGTGCCTCCAGCAGTGGCCCCTCCACCTGTGGCCTGGCCATCACAATACGATTGGAGTCTGGCACAGAGATCAAAATGACACCAAACAAGCCTCTAACCATTGACTCAGCCGAGGTGTCATCTCTGCCGTACATAACTGACAGGTAATGGCATGGCCACAATTGTAGACTGTTGTACAAGTTTGATTTCATAGAATTTCAAAGCAATCGGTGACAGAACCAATTGCTAACAAGAATCTATAAAGACAGTTTTTTTCTGTGATTAGACATCTATGTCTATGATCAGGATTTTGTATGACATGATGCACAACTATCAAGAATGCTTGCAGTTTACAATGATCGTAAGATGAACAAACAACAAATGTGACTGAGCTCTAAGTTTTTATTGCAAATAAGATTCCAGTACTGTCTAAATTTTGAGAGAACTGCTGTCCAACAATATACGATGATAATACAGATAATCCATAGAAATATTTGGCAAAGATAAGTAAAAAGTTGAATATTCATTTTTTTTTCAACTTTTTGATTGTTAAAGTCTTTCTGTTTTTGTTTTTGTTTGTTTTTGACCATGACAATCATGACCATCATCATAAGAAAATGCCATATTTGCCCTTTGTCCATCCAGGTTCAGAGTACAAGCAGTTGGCGCCTTCAGTGTTCTTCACATAGGGACTGACTTGCAAGTCATGTGGGATAGCAGAACTCGACTGTACATTCGATTGCCACCAGAACAACGGGGAAAAGTCTGCGGTCTTTGTGGGAACTATGATCTGAACCAAAACAACGACTTCACAACACGGGAAAACGTTGTAGAGACATCTGTTCAGCTGTTTGCGAACAGTTGGAAGACTTCCACTGTAAGCTGTAAACAAGATTTCATATAATAGTAATTATAGCTACCATTTGAAAGACCTGTAAAGGTTCGAATGCATTGCATGTTACAGGTTATGGCACAACTGTACTGACTGGGTATCATAGGGAAATAAGAAGTTTTGGAGGAGGAAACCAGTAAAAACATTTCATATTCTATGAGAAATATATAACCTTTTTCAAGTAAATGAAATAGTGACACAATTAAAACCAGTTGGTTTTAAGTTAGTAAAAATTGAGCAAAGCACTTCCAAGCATCTACTTTTACATGTACGTTATGTCTTTGACTTTAGCAGTGAGGAACCCACCGGCAAAAATGGCACTCAGTACTCCAGTCATGTAATTTATTTCATGGCATTGTGGGCAGTCAGAAGTTTAGGAAATTCTGTATTTTTCAGACTTGCCCAGACACAGTACAGCCTGCACCCAGCCCATGTGAGAACAAGCCTCGTGAGATGTGGGCCAGGAGAGAGTGTCGAGTACTGCTGGATGGTGTGTTTGCAACTTGTCATCACAAGGTGTGGTTAGTCATACACATGTATGTAGGAGAAAATTAAAGTTATATAATTTAAACATGCTGTCATATAGGTGGTCAGGAATTTTGATTTCATTGAGTTGTATGAATTCAATGATTTTCTGGCTTGTTAGCTAGACTTTATCAAAAATTAGTTTATATATATGGCTTTTTTTATTGCATAATTTGACATTTGGTGATCATCTAATGTCTTAATACTCGGATCCCTAAAATTGTTGTCTTTCGGAAATCTGCCTTTATTCGACATGTTTTCCAATAAATAGATTGAATAGAAATGGCCATATAACATCAGAGTTGTTTCATTGTAGATTGATCCCCAGCCCTTCTATGACGCGTGTGTGTCTGACTCCTGTGCCTGTGATGGGGGAGGAGACTGCCACTGTCTGTGTACAGCTGTGGCTGCGTACGGAGATATGTGCAACCTCCAGGGGGTACATGTTCGATGGAGGACACATGACTTTTGCCGTAAGTACATTATGCAACTTGACTTGGGGGGACATTTATTGGCTACAATACCACAGTGTGATTGTTTTGATAGCCATTTTCTGTTCACCTGTGGCAGCTGATATAGGTTTGTGTCTATGCATGTGCTGCTAGCTTTGGTTGCATGGCCTATGGTGGGTCGGAGGTGATTTTGACAGTTAAATTGATCAAAAGACTATTATGATACCTAAAGGTGATCCGGCATGGACTGTGTGGGACCAAGTGGGCAATATATGAGGGAATTCAGATGGTGTTACACCAGTTGCAATACATTCATGAAAACCCCAAACACTTCCCAGAGGCCTGTGAACTTGAAGGTCACGTAAACCTAAAATACTTCACAGAAGTCTGAATTCTTGTTGTTTGTGGCCTGCAGCTACACAATGTGAGGACTTCAACCAGGAGGATGAGTGTGAGTGGCACTACGACCCGTGTGGTACTGCCTGTCCTGCCACTTGTGAAGACTGCCACCCCACCGACTGTGACTTGCCTTGTCTGGAGGGTTGTCATCCAAAGTGCAAGGTAATATGTTCTTCTGTACATCATTGTATCGGCATCATTAAAAGGTGTTGTTGCTGTTGCTGTTGGCTGTGTAAGATTTTACGTATCTTTGACTTTGGTCATCTTACCTATATATTTTTGCTAAGATGGGTAAACAAAAGGTTACTGAACCTTTCTTTAATCTTTTTAAACTAGTCACCAAAGTTCCTCCAGCTTTAAACATCTTAAATACAAACCTTCAAAAATTGTCTTTCAGCTAGTACCATCCTATACCTTTGTCTAACAAAATGTACAAAATGCACGAAATCAATGTAAATGTTAGCTAAAAGAGAATGGTCTTTGTTCTTTGTGTACCTGACAGAATGGAACAGTTCTCCATGCTGGGAGATGTATCCCCCCAGACCAGTGCCCTGCCCACCCCATTGTGGACAAGACTTGTGGTCCCTGCTGTAACAAGACGGCACCTGTGGATGAGTACGGCTGTCGCTATGCCGACTGTGTTTGTCCAACGTGTCCACCGGTGACCTTGTGCCCGCCGGGGCAGGCTGTGAGATCTATAGATGAATGTGGCTGTGAACGTGTCAGCTGCCGCTACTGTGTCCACAATGGCACCAACTACAATGTGAGTTCCTATAGAGGACATTCAGCTACATTGTACAGTTCATTTAGGTAAAGCAAAGGCTGTTGACAAGTGAATTTTTGAACTTTTCACAGGCTGTGATTAGAATTTTTCTGCTGTTGACTGTCAATAAGAAGTTGATTTGCTCTCTGTTGACAGGATACTCCTGCAAATAAATTAACACCAAACCTTAACTAAATGCAACCCTAACCCTTATATAGCTCTAACTTTGAAGATGATCCAGTAAAATGGTGCAAAATAAAACTTATTGAAATTCCTGAGCAAGAATAACTGTTACTAACTATTGAATGGCTATTTTCAAATCATTGACCTGCCACTTACATAATGGATGGATAGTGGTTTTTAAGTAATTCCTGCGATTCCTGCAGCTATCAATAACACCTTTTTGCACTATTAACAGGAAGTGTCTGTCAAGAGACATTGCCTTTAATGGGTAATGTTGATTTGTGGCACTGAATCACATATAGAATGTTGTGTGTTGTCAGTGCATTAGCTTGTTTTTTACTACTGACCCTAGAACCTTTTTATGTTGACAGCTCATGGACACATGGATGGTAGGAGAATGTACAAAGTGTGAATGTACAGCAGAGGTCGATCCTAAGACAGACAACTATGTTGACAGCTGTGAACCGGTACCAACTTGCATAACTCTCAAAAATCCAGGTATGCTGTTGCCTTTTTCACTGAAAAAAAATGATATTGCCATGGCTTTCTTTGACTTGACTCTAGGCATTTAGATTATATTACATTGCATCTGTGTTTTGCACGTTCTATGTATACATTTTCATTTCAACATATATTCACATAGTTTCCCTCTTCATTTTGTTGCATTCGCTTCAATGTCTCAGGTGTCTCATTGCCAAAGCTTGAAATGGGAATATCTGCCAGTGGTTGCAAAGCAAAAGGATCACCCAATTTTGGTCACTGTACAGTCAGTCAGCAAACAAGGAAATGGCTGTCCTTGGTGCTGAAAGACTCTCATAATTGTGAGATAAGGCCTTTTGAAGGATCAGGTCTAAGCTACCATAATGCTACGTTTAAGATTGAATACGTGATAAACAATAAAATATTTCCTGATTTAGGAGACTTATGATATCTGTCTATTGCTATATTCAGGGTGTGTAGACTCCCAGGAACGTAAATGGAAGGTGGGGGAAGTTTGGGAGGAGACCCCATGCAAGAAGTGCACATGTAATGCTGAGAACAATGTTGTCTGTGGTAAGAAAAATTCACGAAGACTGTATCTGCATAATCGTATATGTGTTGTTGAGGGGTTGTTTCTTGTACATGCTTAATATATGCATGGTATCTCTGTAAAAATGATAACTGAAATGAAAAATGTTTTTATAGATATTATATTTCAAATTTATAGAAATTTTTATAGAAAGAGGGATTTAAACTGATTAAAATGTTTTAATACGTTTATTTTAAATGTGATTATTTGCTGACTTATAAGCTCTCATTGATCAGTCATGTCTACCATTATAATGTTGTTGTGTTCTGTCAGCCTGTGACTACAGTAGGGATGGCTGCAGCACCCCCCTCCCCACATGCCAACAGTGTGAGAGGCCTGAGATGATAAAGACATCCCAGACATGCCAGGCTGACTGGAAATGTAGCTGTGACCCCGAGTGCTGCCCAGACAAACCTCACACCTGCCCTCCTGTAAGCAAAACACTCCAGTTATGTATATAGTGCCAATGGCTTTAACATTCAATGTGCTCATTTTTAAGTTTTTAAATTTCTCATGTGTTATTACCAGTAGTAGCATGTGTAGTTCAGTGGTTTGCTAACCTGCCTCTGGAGCAAGAAAGTCATGAGCTTGAATCCCAGCTGTTGTTGCTTAACCAACATGTGCACATCTTCAAAGGGTTCAAAGTTTCCTTAGGATGGTATATTAGGCCGTGGGCACTGTTCATTGCACTTGTCAAAAAGAGCTAGATTTCCCTGGTACAACGAACCTGTAATTTATACTGTCCATCTGTTTTCTCTATCACAACCAGTGTGAGAGTGTAGTTCAACTGTTCCTTTAGTAAACTGCTTTAAGATCAGTGAAATTCTATCTTTCACAATAGGTTATGCTACTGCTAGACAGCATGTTGAACTGTCTTCTGTCTGTCCTACAGTGCCACGAGTACCACAAAGCCCAGGGTCAGTGTTGCGGACATTGCATTGCCACTTCTTGCTGTGAAACAAATTTGAATGGAGAGGTTTCCAGCCATCCAGTAAGTCATTCCTACCTACTGCATCATCATACTCAATTCAAGACATAAACTTTAACATCACCAACAACGCCTTGAATTAGCCTGGGTGACAAATTACATCAAGCAGTAACATAATTATAATGCTTCACCAAAGGAATTGTTAATTAAGCTACACATGTACCAATCATTGCAGAAATAGCTAAGGTATCTTCTTCTTCATGAATTGTAGAAATCTCTATAAATCATTGGCTATTCAAAACCTTTGTTGGTGCACCATGACAATAGATTGGGATTTGGGACCTGGGCAGCAGCATGTTTTATTTTCAAGGTTAGATGTGTGTTTTAAAACCTTTCAGATCAATTCAACATGGACACTTCCCACCGACTCCTGCCACATCTGCACCTGCAGCAGCAGTGACGCAGGTGTCTTTGCCTCCTGCCTCAGAACGCCATGCACAGAATACCAGCTGCCTCCCGGCTGCCCAGCTGAACGTATAAGGGAGGTCCCCACAGCTGATGGGTGCTGCATCATGTCACAAGCTGGTATGATACTTATCTGTTGAATCTCTTTTTTCTTCCATATTGCTAAATTAGTTCCTTTTCTCAATCTGTAGATGCATATAGGATAGTTCAGTTCAGTTCATCCTCTGTGAGGTGCCACCAGGTTTTCTACAAGTCCCTGTTAAGCATGACAGAATGAGGCTCATCATCCTGAAATCCAACATCCTTCTTGATTACCTTCTTAAGTTCCAAGGAAGGATGACCACATCTGTGACTCGGTTGGCAAAAAAGAATCATAAACCAGTAGAACATGACATGCCTAATGTAACACCGTATGCATGCTATATTTGTGGCTCTTATAGTGTGTCCAACTAGTTCCAAGACTTGCCCCCCAAACACCATTGCCACGACAGCACAAGACGAGTGTGGCTGTAGTGTCATGACTTGTGGATGCCAGGAGGAGCCAGTCTGCTCATGGAGCCCATGGATGAACTCAGATGTACCGTCCAAAAATCCACGTAAGGTTTCATTTTGTTGACTTGCTATGATGCTTATTACTTGAGGGTATGGAAGTATTGTTTTGGATGGCAGTGTTTGTGTGTCTGCCCACACAGAATGACAGATGGTCAAAAGGTCAGTGCAAGAAATGATTTCATCTTTGTTTGAATGTCTGTTATTAATTTGGTAGAAAAGTTGAAATCCTTAGATAGTAGTTTATAATTGCTTTATAACAAGCTGGTCATAACAACTTGTCCCTTTCTGCTCTGTATCTCCAGCTGATGATGATGAGACGTATGAACACCTGCGTGCAGCTGGTCTGGAGTTCTGTTCCCAACCACAGGACATCCAGTGTCGGAACAGTAAGGCACCTGACTTCCCCTTCGACTCCATCAAACAGGAAGGCGTGGAGTGTGATGTCAACACTGGGCTGCACTGTCTGTCCAACAATATCCCGAGCATCTGGTTAGAATCTGAACATTGTACTTCTTACTCTGCTGACTTATAGAATAAGATAATCAGGCAGGTTCAGCTTTGATAATCATCGCGGACAGCCAAAATTTATCTTATTGTTATTTTGTCCCAGGGGTCCGGGCACATGCTATGACTACTCCGTGCGTGTCTACTGCTGTGAATCCCCACAAAACAAGTCGTGTGTGGACAACTCTGGACAGCCAAGGAAAGTAAGTCATAAAGCACCACAAATACTATTATTCTCAATCTCGAGAAATTGCTCATAATACATGATTATCTGTAATCAAGAATTGTCTTTAAAAGGAACTACATGCCAAGAAATCTGTTATGAAACATTTCTTGCTATTAAACAGTATAGATTCCTATGCCATCCTCTTTAATTTCTAGAATGGAGAGACGTGGTATGATGCGGAGGACCGGTGCAAAAGCACACTGTACAGCTGTAACTGTGGGCACATCTCCATGGAGAACACATTGACATGTCCAGAGGTGCAGACACTGACATGCTTGAATGGCCTCCCACCTGTCAATATTGGAGACTGTTGTCCCCAGTTCACCTGTCAATGTAAGTATGTGGTTGAATAGTACCCCATTAGTACCGGTACATGTATATCTCAGTATTACTTTTGGTGAAGAAAATTGTAACTGTTAGTCTACTTAGTTTGTGCCATATTGATGGTTGAACCATAATCTATCTGATATCTTTAGACACTGCATGTACAATGTTTGCAACACATTATCAAGCAGTTCCCATATAAATTATTAACATTTCCTCAGGTATTTGTCGGGGCTATGGAGATCCACATTACCTAAACTTTGATGGGCAGTACTACATGTTCCAAGGGGATGGACAGTTTGTGCTCGCTCGGCTTACAGGAACCCAGGAGGTTGAGATAGTTGCTGAGAATGGGGAATGCGACCCTCCTGCTGGAAATACAACCTGCACAAATGCCGTCATTGTCAAGTACAAGGGACACGAGGTCTCCTTAAGGCCAAGACAGAAGGTGCTCTAACTTCATTTCAAGACTTTGTTTTGTATAGATCAGTGAGGATGTCCCTAACCAAAGCAAGGTACCCATTTTCAGTTGAGTGAGGTAACAGCTTTGTGGCTTTCCCATGGGTATTTCATTGGGGTCTACTCTGGACTGGAACCCAGAATCTTTAGATTTTGAACAATTTTCCATAAGACCACCTTGCCACCATTTTTATTGTAAGATCATGTTATAATCTTATGTTATTCAGCTCCGTGGTCTCTTGACTTTTTTTTACAGCAAACTCAATTCATTTGACATACCTGTTTCTGTAGGTATATGTCAATGAATCAGAATGGAGGCTGCCCATCACCTATGAGGGGATGACTGTAGCCACCAAGGGGTTTGAACTGGTACTGCAGATCCCATCTCTGGAGGTCACAGTGACTTATGATTGGCTCAGCAGTGGGTTCTTCATCCTTGTGCCTCCCAAGTTGTTTGGGAACCGTACAGAGGGCTTATGTGGTGAGTGAAACACTTGTTACCTCCATGTAAGGAGGTTTTGTTTTCAGTGTGACTGTGTGTTTGCTTCTGTCTACTGATCATGAGTTCTCCATGTTTCACAGGTCGTTGTGATAACCAGAAGACTGAATGCAATGATTGTGAGTGTCTGCACCAGTACAAAGTCCCCAACACAGGCCGGGTGGAGACATCCTGTGTGCCTGTGCCTGAGTGTGCCAACCCACCACGCCACAGTAGCATCTGTCAGGTGTTACAAGTAAGGATCTATATCTTTTTATATGGCACACATGGTATAAGGTAGTCACAAATGTAATGCAATTTAAATGAAAGCTTTTGAGCATGCTGGAACTGTTGTTATCGCTTGTCACAAACTTCAAGGAAGTGGCAGGCAGCAGAGGAGGTTAAAATTGTTGAAATTATCAAGAGCTATGTGAGACATCATCTTTAGTTTCATCAGGTTAACGTTGGTAGAGTCAGAGCAGAACTCCAGTCAGAAGCTCTGATGAAGGTGTCTGATAGACACCCAAACATAAGCATGATAGGAATAGTTTGGCTGATGTAAGGAAAAAACCCTATATCCTATACCCTATCATCCTTTGACTTTCAATCATTTATTAATAATGATGTACTCCTGATGCAATAATCTGTATTATGCCACCTTTAAAGTAGCTGAATGCTTTACAATAATGACTGTTGTTGTTTGACAGGATCCAGCTGGTCCATTTTCAGCCTGCCACGCCCACGTTCCTGTTGAGACCTACCACCAGGCATGTGTGTATGACACACGGCACTGTGCTACTGAATGTAGCGCCCTGTCTGCCTATGCCTCTGAATGCTTGCGGTTAGGAGTTTGTCTGGATTGGAGGGGCATTGGAAACAATTGCTGTAAGTCAGGATTATTAGACTGTGTGAATCATGGTAATTCTTACATGTGTATATCATACATCAATAACAGTACTGATTTCAGCACCGTGGATAGATATCACTTAGTATTGGAAATCTCAAAACTTTTGCAGTCATTTCATTCCTGTGGTCACCTCTTCAATCCAAATTCATGACATTGCAAATATGCATTTCCCATGTGTTACTACTGTGCTGCAGAATTGTTTTGACAGTCAATGCAAAACAACACAAAAACCTTCTTTTCCCTCCTACTGAAAAAAAATTGAACCACTGTAAAAGAAACTGAATTCACAGTATGTTTCCATTTTAGTTCTTACATACATGTATACATTTTCAGCTCTTAGCTGTGGCAGTGGTGCTGTTTATAAATCCTGCAGCTGTGAACAGACCTGTGAGAATAAGGACAATGCTGGCCAGCCTGACTGTCCTGCACCAGCTGAAGGCTGTTTCTGTGAGGATGGGCTCGTGCTCCATTCACAGACTGGGACTTGTGTGACTCCTGATACATGCTGTAAGTTTTTTTTTACCTTCGTTTGAGGAGGTTTTTATTTCTGTGGGTTTGTGTGTATGCTTGTCCAGTAGAGACGGTTGATAGAGAGTCGGTGGATGTTGTAAGAAACAGAGGCAAGCAGTAGAAACAGATAAAAACCCTCCTGGTCCTGGGCTGGGGTTCGAACCCACGGCCCCCAGGTGCCAGCTTACAATCCGACGCTCCTACTGAATCAGCTAAAAGGTCTAGACCCATCGGCCGGGTCAGTTGGTAGCGCCTATAAACCCCCCACTGTTACACTTGACTGACAGGGAGGTTAAGGCGACCCAGCATGTGCCTGGTGGGAGTATGTGGGGGGAATTCAGGAAGTGATGAACAGTGTGTAATACCCGATTAAATTATATCATACCCCCTCCACAGTTCAAATACATTCATTAAAACCCAAAGCACTTCCAGAAAGACTGAATTCTGAAAGGAATAAATTTCTGACTTGTCTGATTGTGTTGTTTGACAGATGGCTGCGTGGATGAGTACAATAAGCCCCGTAGACTGGGCGACTGTTGGACTCCCTTTGGTAACAGTTGTCAGTTGATCTGCTGCACTGGACACAACCAGCTGACCCACCAGAACAAGACATGCCCGGCTCAGCAACAGTGTGGCATCGGCTTCAGGACGACTATACTAGAGAACTCCTGCTGCCGTGAAGTGCAGTGTGATCAGATGGACGACGTCTGCATCTACAACAGCCTGACCTATCAGGTAAGTACAAAATCAAAATCTACCCTTAGGCTAACAATTTTACAGTTACAGAACAGCCATTCATACTCAATTATCAGTCAGAGAGCAGAATTATTTCTAAATGTCACAAAAGTGTAAAATTGTAATATTTTGGGGAATGACTTTGTTCCACCATGCCCTGTACCCTTCTTGATAACTGCAGGATCTTTTGCATGTGTATCTGTATACATCTACCCTCTAACAAAGTGTGTTTTTAAAAACTCACCAGCTTTGCAGGCACTTAGTGCAGAAGTACACTGAATGAACTGTCACAAGTAATCTTTGCACATTTAGCTACATGCATTGTTTAAAGCCATCAGCTCTTCTGTGATCATCTTTATCTTACAGATTAAGTTTTGAAGTGCCATAGTTCTCCAAATTACACTGTACAAATTTATGTGAATGTAAGACTGAACAACTGCTTCTATCAGGTGGGCATCTCCTGGAGTGAAGGCATGTGTGAGACATGTCAGTGCACTGAGGACATTGACACGGACACCCAGTTCCACACGGTCAGCTGTCGCAGGAAGGACTGCCCACATGTGGACGTGGCCTGCCCTGTGGGGTACACACTGACCACCAGTACTGACCAGTGTGGCTGCACACAGGTCAACTGTACCCAAAAACACGTCTGTGTGCACCTCAACCTAGAACACCAGGTCAGATGGTCTACATCTTCATACATTGAGATTTATTCCATGTAAGATTTCAAATCGTGAAATGATTGCAAGCTGAGGGCACTCTTGGGATCCAGGCCATGCATGTGTCCTGCAACACTGAACAAGGGTGCATCAGATCGTTGCGGGTAGTTGGTTCTGTCTCAGCCCACTTGAAAATGTAGCCACATCAAAATCGTACACCTATTATGAATGTAACCACACTGCAAATCATTTTATTTTAAATGTGCATACATGTCTTACACTTGTAGATTGTGACATTATGTCATGTATGCCTCCCACTTGTAGATTGATGAGACATTATGTCATGTATGCCTCCCACTTGTAGATTGATGAGACATTATGTCATGTATGCCTCCCACTTGTAGATTGATGAGACATTATGTCATGTATGTCTCACACTTGTAGATTGGATCCACCTGGAATGAAGGGCAGTGTAAGCAGTGCACCTGTCAAGACACACGAGACCTTGGAACTGGTTTTCACCTGGTGGAGTGTGTGGACCTGTCCACCTTGTGCCCAGTTGTGGAGAAGTCCTGTCCTATTGGCTACACCAAGACTGTCCTGTTGGACCAGTGTGGTTGTGAACATGTCAACTGTACCCAGGAGCCTGTCTGTGTGCGTGGAAATATCACTTATCAAGTAAGTATGCTTTCAATCTATTTTTGTCATAAATACCCACCACAGAGCAGGAAAATCGATCAGCCAACAAGCCTGCAAGCTCGAAACAACATATTTGGCAGGAATACAATCAGTGTACTTTCTATTATCGTATGATATATAGGGATTGGCCAATGTTTTAAGTCAACTGTTCAATGTAATGCAGTGCATTTTCATGCCGAAAATATGATATTCTAAAAAGCTTCAAGAAGCCAAATGTCCAAGTGTGCATTAGATGTCTTTACAGTATATATGTGTGTATGTTTTTAAAGGTGTGAACTGTGCTCAGCCAAGTGATGTTGTCGTCTGACATTCTTTATTGACAAATGCTTCATATTGAGTATAAACTGTCCTGTTCCACAGATTGGGTCAGTATGGACTGAAGGTGCCTGTTTGGAGTGTATGTGTATGCCCGAGTTAGACCTGGTCACCAACTTCCAAGTCACCCAATGTAAGCTCAGACCGTGTCCTGCTGTGGACATGACCTGTCCTGTTGGTTATGACCTGAGCATCAGGCATGACGAGTGTGGCTGTGGCCATGGAAACTGCACACGAAAAGACGTGTGCCTGTACCAGAACATGGAGTATGGGGTAAGTACAGACAGTGGAGCCTGTGTAAGTACATGTGTGTGTGTACCACAGTTTGAGTACATGTGTGTGTGTAGTAGTAAGTGTGCAAAGTCTAGTTTTTGGTGACCCTAAAAAGGCCTTTCTCTGGACAAAGAGGTTGTCAAGTTCAAATCCTGGCTGTTGCTCCTTAGCTACTGGAGAGGGTTGTAGTCCTTAGAATGGGACATTTTCAAAAGGAACTAGGAGAAAGTACAATGAACACATAGTGTTTGTCTTCTCTCTTATGACCAGCACATGATTAGCTCCTCAGTGAGCAAAACTGGTTCAAGATTACTTTCAGACACTCTCTTCCACTTTTGAGTTTTCTGTGTTTAGTTTTGTGATAACTTGTGGACATGGATTTGTGCTCAGGTTGGGACTGTGTGGACTGAAGAACCATGTGCTAAGTGTGAATGCACCCCAGATGTGGACCAAGCAACCGGCTTCCACAAAGTGCGGCGCTCTAAACGTCGGACGGAGTGCCCTCAGACACCCGACACTTGTCCTGTTGGCTACAGTAAGGTCACGTCTGTTGACGAGTGTGGCTGTCAGCTTGTCAACTGTACCCAGGAGGAAGTCTGTGTACATCTGGGTGCTGCATATCAGGTGCAGTAATACCTTGATATTAGCTTGCATAGCGTAGTCCACAAAAGCTAGATGAGTAGCAAAACCATCATCTGATATTTTAAGAGAGAGGGGGGGGGGGGTCAATGTGCTTGTGTGCGCATGAGTAGGGTCAAAGTCTGAGCCAAGTCTATGGGGTAGGCATATACAAATTATTGGTAGGCAAATCAATGTTGCAACTCACATGTTGCCTGCCACTCACTGGTCATTAAACCATGGTGATCATTTCTATAAGATCTGTTGGTTTAAGTACCAGATTTTAAACAAGTTGATCAAGAGTCAGAATTCTGAAAAATGTAAAACAGATGGTGTGTTAGGCTGAAAGGCGGTCAGATACACTTCATCCTAAGACTTTCATTACAAAATAAATGACTCCTTTCCACAGATAACAGTTCATGTGGATTTTGACTTGTCCTCCTACTACAGATTGGGTCTTCCTGGAATGAAAGACCCTGTGAGCAGTGTCAGTGTACGAGTAACCTCGACCCGATCACACAGTTCTACCTGGTACATTGTGAGAAGCACAGTTGTCCTTATGTGGAGGAAAGCTGTCCCATTGGTCACAGTATTGCCATCACAAAGGACGTATGTGGATGCAGCCTTGTCAACTGCACTCGTGACAAAGTCTGTGTGCATCACAACACAGAACATCAGGTAAATTCACACATTGCTACTAGTATTTCACTACCTTAATAAGCAACTTCTTTCGATACCAAAACAAAAAATAAGAGACTATTTTGGGTTTTCGTGACCTTCAAATTCATCAGAATGTCTTTCTTGTTAGATTGGCTCGACATGGAACGAGGGTCCCTGTGAGCGATGTGAGTGTATGGAGGAATGGGACAGAGCCACTGGGTTCTACTATGTGGAGTGTGTGGACCTTTCAACGTTGTGCCTTCCTGTGGAGAAGTCCTGTCCTATTGGCTACACCAAGACTGTCCTGTTGGACCAGTGTGGTTGTGAACATGTCAACTGTACCCAGGAGCCTGTCTGTGTGTACCAGGATACAGTTCACCAGGTAGGTAATATCCAGTGGAAAGCTCTTGTTACAACTTTCAGCACCAGGGACATCACCCGTTTCCAGCCTTCAGACCAAAGGTTGTCACCATTGAGAATTTGAGATGTGATTTATTTTTAGTGTAATTTTTAACCACATGTAAGAAGTAGTAGCTTCTACTGTGTCTGAGAATGAAGGTGTCCACAGAACTACATGTTCATGGTGATGGCAGGTGCCGGAAAAAGAAGTGAATTATTTGTTTAACTAATAATATGTTTGCGTGACCGCACAAACACATGAAACCGCATGAGAATGCTGTGAAAAAAAGTCAGTATTACACCACTTGAAAATGCTACAGTACTGTATGATCAATTTAATCAGTTTTTGGGCTGTTTACATGTATTTGTAGGTTGGTTCCAGATGGAATGATGGCCCATGTCAGCTGTGCCGATGCACAGCACAGATTGACACAACAACTGGCTTCCATCACGTGGACTGTCTGAACAGGACAAGCTTGTGTCCTGACCTGCCGATCACGAGCTGTCCTATCGGCTACAGCAAGACTGTCCACGTGGACGAATGTGGATGTGAGCATGTCAACTGCACTCGGGAGCCTGTCTGTGTGCAACTTAACATCACCTACCCAGTATGTTCATGTACATGTATACATGTATTGCATGTGGTTTTGTTGTTCGCCTGATCTAACCCCCCCCCCCCATGTACTTTTATCCTCTTTGTTTTATAATCTTGTTTTTTTTTTGCATTGCCTCAGGGGTGGAGCTGTTAGTATAGTAGTATGATTGAATTGAAAATATTCCGCAAATACATTCCCTACGAAATTGGCTTTTGGCAACACCTAATACGGGAACAGTCTTTGGACAGGGCTGGAAAGTCTTTAAGCATTTTAAGCTGCTTTAAGCATTTTAAGCATAAAAAGGTGCAAGTTTGTACACAATTTTATACCTGTTCAGCAATGTATTAAGTAAGCTTCACTAAAGCCTCCACAGATTCTACAGTATCACATTTCTCTTTGTCCTGACCACAGATTGGTTCAGAGTGGACTGATCGGACTGACCAGTGCAGGACCTGCTCGTGTGCCATGATGAATGGACAGCCAGTGGAACAGTGCATGTCCCGACCGTGTCCGGCCCTCATTCCCCCGAAAAACTGCCCCTTGGAGTTGCTGAAGGAGGTCAATACTACAGACGGCTGCTGCAAGATGTACGATGACACCAACTGTGAGTAGGAAACTTCCACTTGTTCTCTTCATGTTGGTGAAAAAAAACTTCCAACACAAAAATTTCACTACAGCTTCAATGTATGAACAAGAAATTAGAGATTTCAGACTTCTGAAAATTTTGCATTTTCATAACAGGTTCAAGTACACAGACCTTGTTTTTTTATGTAATTTATCAGGTACTAATTCCCATACCGCCCACCCTATATATGCGTCACATTCAGGCTTTACCCTATCAACCTTCATGATCACAACCTACCCATATGCAAAAAAAGTTATTTTTGACAGAAAAACTTGTGAGAAAAACTCACTCACTTACACACGCACACAGAAGAAACTATATGTCTTCACAAAACCAAACAAAAAGAAGTTTGGGTTGTGACAAAAGTGTGTACAGATACAAATGTACTTTTTCTCCCCATACTTACTTACTAACCACTCTTGGTTTCACCTGTTGACAGGCAGGGAAAGCTGTAAAGTGTTTACCAAAGAGGAGACCCTGCAGATTGACGAGTGCACCAGTGTTGGCTTGGTCAACACCACATGGTGCGAGGGAAGGTGCAGGTCCAGTGTCACATACCAAGGTGGGGTACATATTTCCACTCATTGGCTAGGAATGTATATTTGGTCTCCTAGGGCATAACATTGATGAGGCTCAAAATTTTAAGATTTACTTGTATTTCTAGTTGACCATATGAAAGTCACTTTACTTTCTGTTGCATCAGTTACTCTTTCTCATCTTCTACCTCACCTGTGCTTTTAGGTACTGCTTTAACAGTCATAAGAATATTGTACTGCGTCTGTGTAGAGAGTGTTGGATAGTTCATATCATCCCTTGTACTGCCTGAAACTTGCTTGTGTTTGCATCTCCAAATCTTGTTTAAGTTAGGTATAAATTAGATAAGATCATATTACATGTATGTGTAATATAGAAATGTCTTTTCTCAACAGCACACGATATGAACCATGAGTGCACGTGCTGTCAGGACAAGGCCTGGACGGATGTGTCTGTCCCCATGCAGTGTACTGATGGCACCTCTACTACGTACAACTATCGTCAGATAGATGCCTGTTACTGTGACACATGTCAGGAGGCAAAGCCCTCTACTTAAGCCATGCAGCATTCCCAGATCAATCTTATCAAACGTAGTCATCATTATCATCAGAATCTTGTGGTACCAATACTGCAACAAAGACAGGACTACATGTGGTTAGCTTCATGTTGTAGGTGACATAAATGTAGTATTAGTAGTGAATGAATAATATGCTTTCTCTTTTTTAAGAACATTTCTAAGTCCACTAGGAAAATGCATTGCACTAGCTGCATGATGTTATTGTATTGATGTTGTAAGACAAAGCAACAAGAGTGTTGACTATTTTCTCTGTATGTTCTGTCTTCTGCCAGATTTCAAAATTTATTGCCTTGTCAGAACCATGCTTTGTAGCATACTGAAAATTTCCCCAGATATTACAAACAAAAATATGATATTTCACTATCAATCAAATAATACTTTACACATAACATACTGATTACTGCTATAGCAGTCAGTAAAGACCATTACTGGCAAATTGTCAGGTTGTAATAGTGCATATTTCAGGCCCGAGACATAATTTTTTGGCTTTCTTCAATATACATGATTGTGTATATACTTCTACAGCTTTACACCTGACTGCAATACATTAATGGCTATACCAAATCATTATGAGGATATGTTTCACTAGTTTACCTTCTGTTCACATACATCCTTCCACATTTCTGTGATTTTACATAGTCAAAATTTTTGCTATGATAATTCTTATATCAATGTTTAGTTCTTGGATTGTACTAGTAAATGTACATTGTGATGCATAGACTTAAGGTCAAATGGTAACCTATCAAACTGTGTTTAAAAGCCATGATTTAAGCATGATGTCTCACTTTAAGACTACAATGTGTCATGAAAAATAATAATTCTTAAAAGTGACCATTATCACCTCGTACTTGCTTGAAGTAGTCAAAGAGAAAGAAACTCAGTTATAGTTTATACACATATTATATACACCAAATAGCAAGATTTCAGAGGGGTTCAAGAGCTCTGCGCACCCTGAGCATTCCTGAACTCTAGGATTGACTCCTATTGTTGCATAATATCAATTTGAAATTGATAACAAAGGTAAGACAATGAATTCAGGATTGGATATATTGCTTATGCGGAAACTTCCATGAAGGTTTCAACACGATCTATGACATTGCCCTACGTTTGTCATCACCCACATCACAATCATGTTCTAACTAAGGCAAAACCTCTTGCTTTTACTACTTGCTATGGATCCAGGCATGTCCCTTCATAAAGTGTATGCAGCACAAAAATCTGTTGGTTCTTTAGACAGAACTCTGCATCTTGACTGAAAGTTGACATTCGTAATCACCTATTCTTGTAGTGAAATATACTAGTATCATTACTACTTGTAAGAGCTCATGTCATGTATTCATATTTCACTTTAATTTTTGACTTCCGTTTCCGTTGCCCTCGGTGACACCCATGAGATAGTCTCGGATTTCCTGACTGTCCGGCATGTCCGGCATTACCCAGGAGTCCTTGGGGTCATTCCTCCCGCGACAGTTGGGGCATGTGTTATGTATGACATTCCTGCATAAAGAGACAGATACCAACTACTGTAGTACAGAAACTAGAAAGGCCAATATTTGCTTTGGAGCAAATACAGCGATGGGTTCACCACATTTTACCACATGGCAGGGAAAGAATGAGAAACACAAGGGAAAACAATGATTTAGTTTTAATTACATTGATATAACTATAATATGAAGTAACATACAACTAAAACAACAGTTGGATAGCTATTCCCTACTTTATTGGTTAGGATTTTTAATTGCATAATGCAAACTGTTTATTTTCAAAATAAAATAAAAAACGTTCATGCCCCGCATTCCAATGCTGGAGCAGAAAAGCCTGAAATACCTACCAAAACACTTGAATAAAGACATACTGTCAGTATGGAAATGCTCTGTGCAGGTGTTAATCAAGTTAAATCCCAACAGCCAATCAGCAAGAAATGCTCTGTGCAGGTGGAAATGCTCTGTGCGGGTGTTAATCAAGTTAAATCCCAACAGCCAATCAGCAAGAAGAATAGAGGAAAGCTGCATGCCTATTGGTTGATGCCCTGCATTCCATTGTGATGACTCATGCCCAAACGTGGTAAACACGGCACACTAACACAGTAATACATTTGCTATAACACAGCCAAAAAACTCAAATAAAACCATTCTAAAAGCCCGTATCACAAAAATTAAAAAACGCCTAGGGGTATTTGCCCACTGTACCTCCATACCAAATTTCAGGACCTTAGGCCCTAAAATGAAGAAGCTGAATCCATTTAAAAAATGGCAGGAGGAGAAACATCAGAAAAAGCAATATGGGTTCACCACCACTTCGTGGTGTGGTGAACCCATAATAAAAATGTTACAAATAGCTGAGAGCTGCAATAGTATACAAATGTGACAGCACCACATGGCACTCTACAGCTGTTAGCCTGGGATTTCTCTCATGTTATCGTTATATTTGGAACGCCGTTTTGCTGTTTTATTATTTATTACTGATTGCATTCTTCTTTGTCAGTGGTGAGGCTTAACTTAGCAACTTGCTACAGTTGCCCACCACTGTGTCTTTGTAATAACTATGTTGTTTAATAATAGCACAAAATGATGTATTCGACAGAAAGAAACTTTGATCGAGGAGTCTGTTTCATCTTCAAAAAGAAATACAATAAAACACTCTTCACTTTGACATGTATATTGTACCGCCCTGCCTTGACATTGCCCTTTTTCTGACGGTAGAACACAACATCACAGCACCTTTCATTTTTAAGTTGCATATGTATAGGACAAAGTGTGTGTCAGCAACATATGACATGTGAAGTAACATCAAACAGAATACATTTCTCTGTTTCGTTGCTATGATAAATTTAACCGCTAATGATGAAAATGTCAACGAATGTAACATTAGGCCAAGTTAAATCCCAACAGCCAATCAGCAAGAAGTATAGAGGAAAGCTGCATGCCTATTGGTTGATGCCCTGCATTCCATTGTGATGACTCATGGTAAACACGGCACACTAACACAGTAATACATTTGCTATAACACAGCCAAAAAACTCAAATAAAACCATTCTAAAAGCCTGTATCACAAAAATTTAAAAAACGCCTAGGGGTATTTGCCCACTGTACCTCCATACCAAATTTCAGGACCTTAGGCCCTAAAATGAAGAAGCTGAATCCATTTAAAGATATGGCAGGAGGAGGAGAAGGAGGAGGAGAAGGAGGAGGAGAAGAAACATCAGAAAAAGCAATATGGGTTCACCACCACTTCGTGGTGTGGTGAACCCATAACTAAGCAAAGTAAGTAGTTGAGATGAAAACACTGATACTGTGGGGGGGGGGACCTGTCTTATGGTTTCAGGCCAGTTTTTTTTTACAGTTTAGCACTAAAATTATAGGGAAGACTCAGCTCAAAAAAAGTATGCCAGAAAATTTAAGTGATAAGCTTTATCTTCCTGCTCCTTATTTGAGGTAGAAACTAACAAAATGTACATTTGGGGCCTGAAAAACAATATAATGGGTTCTTTTTATAATAATTCTTAACAAAGCTGCCTAAAAAATTTCCCAGGATAACGCCTTAGCTAGTAGCGACAACTCTTAGTGTCTACATGAACCAGTAGGCTTCAACATCACAATTCAGTTCTAATTAGTATCTAATATGCAACTGAGGCTTATGTGTGCCACTGGAAGCATCTTTTTATCATTGGTGGAAACAGACCTTGATACCACAACATTTGTAATCCTTCAAACTGTGCAAGAGTCAAAAGCACCATGAAGGAAGGACACAGTAGAAAGAAAAGCCGAAAAAGTAGAAAGCCTGACAAAACCCCTTTAAAAAAAGCTGTTACAAATGTCCAGAAAAGGAAGTTTCTCTGCTTGGAATGCACTCTAAAAAAACAATTTACAGAAGTGTACATACCACTTGTCGATGCACTCCTGGCAGAAACTGTGTGTACAGGGCAAGATGACCTCAGACCTCCTGTCCATACATATACAGCATTCATTGTCATCCTCTTCCTGCATAGACTGCAGTCTAGAAATGTGGGTAACATCAACATATTTAATGTAGAAATCCCTAGGAGGTGAGGGACATGTACTTGAGTTTGCCTGACATTGATGATAACATTCCTATAAAATAATGTACATTGGTAGTAACACTAACTGATAAGTAGCAAGTAAGAATTTACATTGTATACAAATGAAAACTGTCTACTTTTCCCAGACATAAAAACTTATTACGTAACCCAAAAATCAGGACCACAGGGTGTCCAGGACAAAACATACAAAACTGGAGGTTGTTCTGCGGTAATAAGACAAGCCGCCAGGAGGCCTAAAATCATTCTTGATCTTTGTCTTTCAAGACATATCCACATATGAATATCATCACAATTCATCCAGATGTTCCAATGTTGACAAAAAAACATCTGGAAATACAAACAGACACACACACAAACAAACAGCACACCCAAAAATTTTTTTTTAACGGTGTCGCTCAATGCATGGCCATTTGGCCACTTCTAGGCATAGAGCTAGCCTGTAACTGTAACAGCAACTCTTCTCCCTGAGTCAGAAACATCACAAGTAGTGAGGACTAACTGACCCACTAGGAGAAGCAGGGGTTACGAGGCTGGTCGGGAAAATTCCCTACCCCTTTTTTGGCCATAATGGTTTGTTCCACTTCTGCTCAAGTGGGTTCTTTAACGTGCTTGAGGTGTGTCTCTCCTCAAACACGGGACCTCCATTTTAACGTCCCATCTGATAAGACGCCCCTAACCGAAGCTAGGTACTCATTTTCACCTGAGTGAAGTGAGGAAATCGTGTAAAGTACCTTTCCCAAGGGTACAACGTCGCGGCGCATGTCGGACTGTCGGTACGACCGANCGAACCGGTCCTCCCCGTTTCACAGTCCTGTGATGTACCACTACACCACACGACGTACATTTTCATGTATTCAACAATACTTTTGATATGCCTGTTGGTCCTCCTGGGCAGGAAAAAAAATGCATGGAATAAGAAATGTCAATTGTTGAGGGCAGGTATGAAGGTACAAACATACCCTGTAAAGATGATGGAGGCCTGGAACTCAGGAGGAGTGTCCTCCTCACCCGTGCCATCCCCGCCCGTACTGGGCTCCTTCCCCTGCTTGCCTACAGCAGCCTCCGCCTGCTGGAGTACTGTGTTATACACAGCGATGAACTGTCTCAGATTCAGCAGCCTCGTGGATTCTATTCTCCCACATACCGAGTCAATCTGGAAGAGGGAAACAGGGACGTTAGTAAGCACGATCATAATCTTCATAGGTAGCAAGACATTCAAAACAAGAAATGAAACATTTCACACCTCTGTGAACTATTTATGAGTTGTCAACCTTCGGGGAGACCATTTTGACCTCCAACTTGACCTTCCTGTCAGTCTGTAGTTAACACATTTTCTCCTCCTTTTCCTGTGACTATTCAAATAACTATGGACACACATACAAGCAAACAGACAGACAGACCGGGAAGAACTGTCTCAGATTCAGTAGTGACATGGACTTCATTCTTCCACAAACAGTCAATCTGGCAGAGGGAAGCAGGGGCATTACCAGTAGCACCATCTACATTTGTAGTAGACTGAAATAATTTCCATGAAGCAGTGAAGGTCTGTACATCTTAACTCCTGCTTCAGTAACTGTAAGAAATGCAAACATTACCTTCAAACATCTGATCCTGACAGTTGCCTTCCACAGCGCCCCTTCATCTGTGCCCTTCTTTATGGTGAAGACCAGGTGTTTACCCTGCACCTCACTGAATGTCTTGGTTCTGCAGACAGAAAAAAACACACTACCTGTCATGGTACAGATGCGAATTGTCTATAGAATGACCTTTACTGCCCATCATAATAAGCATTTAACCAATGAGAGAGACAATTAGGGGTTCAACCAGTCTATTGTAAGATCCCAGTGACGTTTCTTGATATGGACTCAAGTACACCAAGCAAAGTAAAGAAGCAGCTGCTGTTCTTACACTTCGTTGAGCTCCTTCACGGCATCCTGTAGGTCCTTGTAGTCCAGCACTGCAATCTTCCTCAAGATAGCTGCATGTTTCTGCAGCCGGCCCTGAACTGCAAGGACCATATCAGAACCCTGTGGTGGGGGAGAAACACAACTTTGGGGATCTGTGGCCCTATTTACTAACCTGTCCACTGAAACAGTCATCTAACATATATGCGAGAGGTCCTATTCTATTACATGTAGATTGTTTCAACTAACCAGTATACCACCTTAACACACCAGATTTGTACTTATTAAATAAAAGCTGTGTAAGACTGGACTGTAAAGTTTGATCCACTCACACCAGGATGGACCCCTACTCTGTTCGATAAAGTGTGGTAAGATATTGCTTTCCTTAACACGGGAACTATCACCTGAGTTGAGTGAGGAAGTGTCCTTTCCAGGTGCACAACATTGTGGCCTGCAAGGGATTCTAACCGAGAACCTTTAGTCAAGCCTAACAAGACCACCTAGTTTGTACAGATAACCCATCCTTGCTGGTTCCTACCTGCCGTATCTTGCTCTGCAGGTAACTCTGTAAGTACAGGCCTGCGTCCCCCTCCTGGGACTGGGGTACTGGAGATGGGACTCCAGCTCTGGTTCTGGAGAGTGTTCCTCTTCTGCACCCTCGTGCCACATTTCATCCGAATCGTCATAGAAATACTGTTCCTGGGACTGATCCTGTCCCATAGCCTCTGTCCCTGCACTTCCCACTGTGCTGCTCCCTCTGCAGGTCTGGTCCGTGGATGACAGTCTGTGGTACAGTGGAACTGACCTGGACATGTGGGCAACAATGTTGCAAATGCTGAAATATGTGGTTGAAACAATTCTGTAGTACAGTAGTCATGTAAACAAGATACATTTGTGGTGTCATTAATTTGTAGTGGAGAGGTCAATTTAATTTTACTACTTTCAACTTTCGAGATATGCACCTCTAATGCACCTGTAATGGGACTGTGCAAACATCGTCTGTAATCAGAAGTTAGAATTCGAGGCTGTGGAAATGATAGAAGCAGCAGCCCAGCATGTGGGTAGGGTACAACTCATGATTAATTATACTAGTACCTTATGATTGCTAGTAATTATAAATACATGTTAAACTTAACCAGTATGGTAGCTACTGTACCCCTTTAGTGACATGCACCTGTGACAGACACCTGTAACATGCACACCTGACAATCAGCTGTATCACAGCTACATGTCACCTCGGTGTTCTTGAGCATCCCAAATTATGTCAAAGGCTGCCCTACAATATACCACTGCCGCTATTATATCGTGAAATGCTCGGTGATCTCATTATTCAAAACACCTGTAAGAACTAATTTATCACAGAAAACCCACCCACTATCGTTCGGACGAGACTTCACAACAAAAACATTTCTTAAGGGTGTTGGGTCGTGGGTTGACTTTGTGTACTGCATATTTTTGTGTGTACAGCCAAGGACATCTGCGTATACTGTCCTTTGTAATTTGTGCAGCTGTGACCTCACCTGAGAACGTTTTTCTTTGTGACCAGTGCAGTCCTGCAGGCACAAGCTCTCTCTGTGTTCCACCTCACTTTACGTGCGCGTACAGACCAAACCAAGCCAGCTCTTTAACCCACGACATCTCCACCAAGCCGTTCTTCTATGTTCCTTCCATTTGCACCGTTTAAACAGTTCCCAAACGGTACAGCAACGACGTGATTTGACTGAACAGCTGGGAAAACAACAGGTATGAAGGTCCCGGGCAGCTACGTGTGGCTTGACCTCTGACCCTCTTTGTTGTAAACGTCATGACAAACTGGTTGCGTCATACTACGCAAGAAAATCAACGTCACCAGGATTTCACTATGATTTAAATTTTTGGCGCGAAATATATCTACTTTCTTCACTAGTCACCTCGGTTTTGATTTAGTTTACTCGGTCAGGGGCCAGGCTTGGGGAAATATTAGGTTAAATCTAAATATTGCCAATAAAGACAGAAAGAAATAAGGATTAATTTCCTGAAAAAAAAATTGGGAAAATGTGTGACTTAATCATCGTCATAACTTAAACATTTACTTTTATCTGATTATTGTCTATACCACATTTTCCGCCTGAAAATACGCAACGATATTCTAGAAAATCTTAAATCTGAAGAAACGAATCATTCATCATGTGAAAATTACATTCCCGAAAAGCAGTGGTTTTAAATAGCACTGAGGTTTAATTAATTTCTACCCTGTTTAAATAAAACAGAAATAAATAAATAAATAAAAATCATATAACATACACGTACGGCACAATATCGTGAAGAATATTGTACGAACGGTGAATAGGCTTCCTAATTAGTCCGCCACCAACTTGGGGTGGGCAGCTCCGGATTCTTGAGCGCCGAGGAAAGAGCTTGTGTTCACAGGCTACTGATCTCCCAGCGAAGCAGACATATAAACATAGTCTTTATTTGCAAAATCATGCACGAAGGCTAATTGCTTTACAAAGTCCGGGATGCTATACGTACGGTACAATACAATAGGAGACAGACAACTACTGTCTGGAAAAATTTAATACTTCTAACGTTACTACTACGCTTGCTATTATGACGTATGACTTCTTCTTTGAAGGCAGTGGATAATGAATAGTCCCAGTTCTGCATAATGAGTGGGTTTTGTGATCTTATATATTAGTAGGAGAACAGCGTTTTGGTGATCTTCTAGATGATGAAAAGGTGGAGAAATTGTGGTAACGTTTTGAAATAATCTGTTTCTGTCTGTCTCATAGCGAGGACCTTGACACTGACTAATACAACTTTCCACTGTATTCATTGGGCAATATTTACATAGTATGTCTCGTGCACGGGTAGTTTTCTTTAGCGACCCCTTTCTATTTCTAGATATATATGACTTCGTTCGGTAGAAAACGGCGGCACGACGAAAGTTCATAGATATACAAAACAAGTAAAAGGACACACAAAAAAAGCACAAATTATGTGTGTGTTTTGTCCTCAGACCACGTTCAAATCTCTCAATTTTGGAAATCTCTCAGGGATTCTTACTTCTATTACTGTTCTTACTTTCTTAGGTTCTGGTCCTAAAGTTTTTCGTAACATCAGTAGAAACGTAATGAAGTAGTAATTCAGCCCATGTCGCTGTTCATTTAACACACAGGTGTCAAAAGCAAATGTTCTTCACAGTTTGGTGTGAAGTCCGGTAAAACAGCATTGACGCAGATTGATGTAACAGTATCCTGTATGCCAGCTGTTGTTTTCCACTTTACCTAACGAATGTTAGGTAACATGTGACTAATGGATGTCAGTGTTGTATGTTCTAGTGGTTCGCATCCTTTTATCTAGTGGTTCTCATACTGCCAGAAATTGTTCCTGCAAAGTCAAAAAGCAACTTAAACACCTAAAGTGCTACAGAAGTGTTGCAGGATTTGGCAATTGTTACCTAGGTCAGATCAACGTCAATGTCAAAGAGGACAGATACTCAATAAACACATGAAGTATGTTTGTGATATGTTTTCCGAATATATATATGAAAATTGGCACAGAGAAATACCAAGGACATGCATGTAACAAATAGTCAGTACTAGGAACAGTGTAGTGAGTACCAAGGACAGTGTAGTGAGTACCAAGGACAGTATAGTCAGTACCAAGGACAGTGTAGTCAGTACCAAGGACAGTGTAGTCAGTACCAAGAACAGTGTAGTCAGTACTAAGGACAGTGTAGTCAGTACCAAGGACAGTGTAGTCAGTACCAAGGACAGTGTAGTCAGTACCAAGGACAGTGTAGTCGGTACCAATAATAGTGTAGTCGGTACCAAGGACAGTGTAGTCAGTACCAAGGACAGTGTAGTCAGTACCAAGAATAGTGTAGTCAGTACCAAGGGCAGTGTAGTCAGTACCAAGGGCAGTGTAGTCAGTACCAAGGACAGTGTAGTCAGTACCAAGGACAGTGTAGTCAGTACCAAGGACAGTGTAGTCAGTAACAAGGACAGTGTAGTCAGTACCAAGGACAGTGTAGTCAGTTTGTCGATTGCAGAAGAATACTGACAGAATGGCCGTGTAGTTATGCCAATCCTTTCACAAATGTGGTCTCAATAAACAAATAACGTTAGATACCTTTGTATTTGTCATTAGTATTTATTAACATGCATTCATGTGAATCCTACTGGAATGCATTGAGGCACGCACCACATCAAGAATAGATACCGCCATGCACTTTCGTCCCTCAAAATGAGGGAAAATCCTGCAGGGCACAGCAGGAAAAAACAGCCCGTAAACGATAAGGCCATGCCACCCCACGCCGGCGGATGGAGGAATGAAATATATCTTGTGAAACAGATGGCATTTGCCACTTACTTTCAAACAGGAGATTAAAGGTGTATATTAAATTGCTAATTGGCTAAACCGATGCAAGAGAAAGGAACGTCAGTAAATCGTGTGGATTTCGTTGTTTTCGAGTTACATCCGCAGCCCAGGTTGATTAGACCAGGCTCCAATCACCGCCGAGTGCGCAAGATGGTTGTCATGACAACAAAAACCCATAATATCCGACGGCTGAACGTCTGAACGGCACTCCTCACTTCGACGCTCTCGAATATTGACGTGTTGGTACTAACTTGGTAGTGGAAGCAATTACGTGATTCCATTCAAATTCAGTGTTCCATAGTTACTACACTAGATAAAGAGTTTAGGCGGCAGCAGCTAGCATCTTGTAGCAGCAGCATGACCCCGAGACTGATGTGCGTGTTGGTGGTGTTGGTCGCGGCCTGCAGCTGGTCACTCACGACTGGCTCCCGACACACGCTGGTCGCAGACGACGCTGGCGGTGACCAATATCTGCACAGCGGAGAGGTGAGCAATGGGTTACTCAATAAGGCCTCGGAAAAATGCTGTGATTTCTGTCATGAAAAAAAAATTCTCAATAATTTTTTTTAGATTTCGGCTAAATTCGAAGTGGTCCAACAAATGCAGATTAACACGAAGTAACACGATGTAACACGAAGAAATAAGACTAAACTTTACCTGCCAACACTACAATGAATTGGGTACCCCACATTTTCGGCTGACTCCGTCAACCTTGTTCCCGAAATGGACCCGTCTACTCTTGGAACGTGACGTCTGAGACGTGTCTCTGACGTCTCTGTCTTTGCAGACCGGAACAAGGTTGACGGAGTCAGCCAAAAATTTGGGTACTGAAGTCTCAATTCATTGTAGTGTTGGCAGTTAAAGTTTAGTCTTTATTTCAACACAGATGAACTCTCATGCTAATGTAACATTAAGACTGACATGCATCAGGACCAGGGGCAAATATTTCACCCGATTTACTCGATAAATTTTGCTTCTGAAAATGCGTGAATATAATGAAATTCCTAATGGCCTAACAGCGGTAAGAAAAAGGCTAGGGTCGGCGGGCTTTTGAAAGGGTCGGCTGGTAAACATGGGACGAGCGGCTGGTTTAATAACCGGAGTAAACTAGCCTCTACCAGGCTTCGGGAGGCGGCTGGAAAGAGAAAGAGTAGAAATCGGCCAAATAGAGAGATAATATGCCAGGTGAGCTGGTCCGGTAGAGAGAATTGTTTGCTGCACCCGAAAAAACATTTATCTCTGCCGGAATAACTCCCCAGGCATTTTATATCTTTATTTGGTTGATTTCTACTCTTTCCACCGGAAACTTTTTTCATTGTCAAATCCAGACTAGACTACAAGCCAACTGTTGAAAACTACTCTTAAGGCCAGAAAATTTAAATTATCTGACTCGCGCACCAGGTTTATTTGTGAACCGTAGTAGGCGTAGAGGTCATTCTGAGAGTGTGTATGAATATATACGGTAACTAGACTCTAAGCTGGTGCTACACACCAGGAAAAGATAGGTCGCCCGACGCGTCCATGAGCGCAATTTTCGGCAGTAATACGGTCGGTCTTCTCTCGATCACTTCGTGATTGTTCAGGAATCGGTCGATGCGGTTTACCGAACCCGTTCTTGTTCAAGATTTGATTTCCTTCACTGTCAGGGCTCGACATTAACAGATTCCCAACGCAATGGCTACTGACCATTAAAATTTAGACCAGGACAACTAAAAAGACACATTGGGACATTTGGGGACAATAGAAAAATAATCAACATCAGATCTACAATGTCCTTCTTTCGTTTATCAGGCACACGTCCCAGCTTTTGGCTCCGGTAATTTCCTCCCGAATGTTTTGTCTACTCTGAGAGTCAGAACGTAAGCAAAATAAAGTACATGTAGACGTCAAGTTGTTGTCATACATACTTCCTGAAAAACAGGTTGGGACAGATAAACCTCACTTTAAAGTTTATTTTCGGGACAGTGCTGGGACAATAAGAAGAAAAGTTCATTTTGAGGCCTGGCAATCTCCGTGACAACGTTGCTTTTTGATTGGTCGTTTTTGCTCAGGGCACTGATATAATTAATCATGCCCCCATTTTTCCAGGTTGAGGACGCAGAGCGACAGGAGGTATTTCCCAACACGACCCTGGAGAGGGCGTTCCTGCGTGACGTCATCAGGTCAGAGGTCACGGCCATGCTGAAGAAAGCCTGGCCCAGACTGTTCCCTGCGACGTCGGTATCCATGCGGAAGAAAGGTGAATAACATAATTCCGAAAATAAGTAGAAGGCATCCGATCTCCTTCTCATGAGCAGTGAGATATAAGCAGCACGGGAATCAGGGGTGGCAGACTTCATCCCATTACCCAGGCTGACTTGCGATCCTGAGCAACTTAAGGTTTCACAGATCGCTTAACGAAATTCATAAAGAACAATTTAAAAAAGTAGTTTATATGTCTTGTCGTCTTTCAAATCATACTGTTATAACACGCATCATATTCCAGGGGTTATGCAACCACGTTATGATTCTGTCACGTATCCCTGGAATACATTTCAGAAAGATGTTTTCACTGATATATCAATATTAGTTTTTAAACACCTTATGACACTTTGCTTGATTTTGCTTTACAGACAAGTTAACTTTTCCTCGACTAGGATAGCTTCAGTGAAACGAAACAAAGTAAGTTTTCTTTGTGCCATTACCTTCGCCAAGAAGGTTATGTTTTCATGGGAGTTCGTGCGTGTGTGTGTGTGTGTGTGTGTGTGTGTGTGTGTGTGAACACGATAACTCAAGAAGGCTTTGATGGATTGTCTTGATATTTGGTAGGTGGGTAGGTCTTGAGAAGAGCTCAAAATGATTAGATTTTGGGCCCCCTGGCGGCTTGGCATGGTACAGCAGCAGAGGAAATGAGGAAATGCTATAATGGCATTCTTTGTTAAGATAAGACTGCCTTTTGGTGGATAATATGGTCAACAGATGTTATTCATGCAATTGAGGATCCTCTTCGTGTAAACAGGGGGATTAATCTATATAATTTCTTAGTCAAAAAGCTTAACATGATTTGGCGAAGGTATGAGATCGTGGAACTCTAGCTTTGTGTTTAATATTGAAGTGATTTCTATGGTAAACGTAGCTCTAGTAGAAGTAACTAGAGGTTAGGGAGCTCGAGACTGATCACTGAGCTGAGATGAAGTGAGCGGCGCGGTCACATTTGCCGTAGGTTGCCGTACGATGTTGATGCCGTAGGCCTCTCAAGCAGGCTGTGAAAGAACTCGTACTGACGAATGTGACCGCGCCGTACGCAGTGAGAACTCTCTGTTCAGCCCTACAAGAAATTTCTTTAGGCCACAGCACGAACATTTTATGGTTGACATCCTCCGCAGACTCCAAATCTAATGCGATAGGGCGAAAAAAACATGGCGGCAAAAAAGAAGATACATTTTCCAATGTTGACATCATGATACCTATATTGTGTTACATTTACTGTCAACTATTGCAAAATCCATTTGTCACTGAAAAATAAAAGTTTTCAATCATTGTACGGATGGTTTTGATTCAGTTGGAACATCACATAAAAAAGGAATGAAATACATCACTGCATCAAAGGCAAAACAATAAATCAGAGCCTTGTCTTGTCTCCTCTCTTCATATTTATCTACCATCCACGTTCTGGCATGGCAACAGACATCTTTCCCATTGTCGTCATGTTGACCACTGTCAGAGGGCAACAAAATTTCTTGTTGTTTTTTTAGGCGAAAATTAATGCGCGCGTTGGTGCCATCCATAAAAATTACTTGCTGTGGCCTTCGAAGTCCAACAGTTTTCACATGTCGCACTCCATGCATGCCCTTGACAATTTCCTCTATTTTGTAGCGGCGAAGACCACAGAGTGCCAGAAGAAGTGAGGCAAGCACCGTGCACCTCGTCGTGTTATTATACGGAGACGAAACAGAGCCAGAAATGTGATCAACGGTCACACCTTACAAGGAAATTCATAGTTTGTGGCATATATATATGGACACACGAGAAAGGTTCCCGCCTCAAACAAAGGAAAATGACATCTGAGGCAGAACATAGATACTAGCCTATGTCGTTCAATAAATGCCACTAAAAGTATCCTGTCGTTTGTGTTACTTGTGTCATTATAGTTAGAGGACAGTCACGTCGGTACGTTTTATTAGTCACTGACGCCTATGATGAAGGTACTGACAAGGCACTAATGTTTTCTTCCGATGTCAGGTTTAAGGTGTATTACTTATTACAGCCACTAGCTTGTGCAAAGATGCAGCATCATCTTTTAAGATATTAAAATATGACTTTGCAGTTCTGTTCTGAAAAATCTGAGGCGCGCGAAAATAGACGTCGACAATATCCGATATGAGATAAAATCGTGGCGCGCCAAACTGCGCATGCTGCCTGCAATGGTGAAATGCACGATTCCTTTTATACGTCAAATAAACAAGATATTCCGTCTCGCGGTTTTCCTTCAGATTAATAATTGAGTCAAAAATATCACCCGGTGTGAAACCCGGTGAGAAGCAAAGCTATACTGGTCTTTAACGGCTCTTAACGGCTTGACCCCTCCACACCTTACTGCCTTGTTTACGCAGTTCTCAGAAATCCACGCACACAACACTCGTCTCAGGTCACAAGGTGGCCTTCAGCTACCTAAAGCTAAATCTGAGCACAGAAAGAAAGCTTTGTCGTTCTCCGGGGCGGCGTTATGGAACTCGCTCTCGTCTCGCCTAAAATCGACAGGGACACTTACACTGTTTGAAAAGATCTACAGTCAAGAATATATGGATACCGGACACTAATATTGAAAGGCCAACTTGTTACGTTACTTCTATATTATTTGATTTGATTTGATTAATCATATTTCGTTACTTTGATTAGCTAACTCCACTTTTGGTTAATTATCTACTTTTGGTTGACAAACCTTTTGACCTATCGTTATGATTTGATAACTGAATTATTATGATTGCTTCTATGCTGCCTTGTTTCATTTTGGTTGTATAATGAGTTAGCTACGATTCTCATTTTGTTCACGATGAGTTTATCTATTTTAATTGACCTGTGTTAGTTCTTCTTTTATCTTAATTATTATGTAATGTAATTTTATGTTGGGGTTATCCCCCCAGGAATCTTTGAAAACCGCCATACAGGCGACATGTATATCCTGGATAAATAAATAAACAAACAAACAAACAAAACAAACTAATGTCGTCATATAACACAACAGGTCTTTGTCGCCAGAAATCACGTTTCGCGCACGCATGTCCTGAAATAGAAGAACGGGGGATGAAAAACAGCAGAGAAACCATCATACAAATGACGGCCGAGGTCGGCATCCTGCGCTGCGAAGATGTTTATTTTCATTTAATATTTCATTTCAAGATGTATTCCTGGCAGCGTCGTGCATACGCTGTTACTGCCACCTGCACATTGACGCCGTATCACGACTGTTTACCGCTCTGAAGTTCACTGCGACCATCGTCCTCACAAACCAATGACAATGGTGTGGTTGACTTGATCAGCCAATTTGAAACATGTCATTTATTCTTATTCAACAGTCTTAACAGTGATGGTACTGGTTTTTGATAACGAGTAATTTTGTCGGAGATTCTCAGGTTTTGGCGGTGCTCCTGTCGTCGTGTGCTGGGTAGGAGATCGATTCTGCTATGCTGTACGTTCCGATGCGGTCATGCAGGCAAATCCAACTAGGATAAAATTGTCCGGCTTGGAGCCGAATTGGTTCGCTTTGATCCGGCTCCAAGCCGGCTTAAGTCGGTTCGATCTGGACAATTTCATCCTAGTGAGAATGGTGCCGTAGTGTAGAGGGTCGCTCGTCTCTTCTCAAGTGTTTCAACTTTGCATGGTTTCGGGTTTGTTTCTACCAAACTTAAGAATGTTACACAGGCTGAACCTATTAAGTAACAGGTTCCGCACTGGATTTTCGAGTGCTCGGTGACTCTTTGTCGCTGGAAGTCGAGTTCTCAAATCATTTCGGCACTTGGCTTCCGGTGGTCACGTCGACATGCAGTACAGTAGCCTAGTGAATAGTCCTTAGTACTAAGGTCGAGTGGAAATCTGAGGAAAAAGAGGCCAATCAAACGTGTCCTGCCGATCAGCATGTTGTCCGGTCATAATCTGTATGTGGTACAGTGGAGGAGTACCTAAGTTCTCTCAGCTCTAGCTCGGTTTCTAAGTTTTCAGTGCTGACTCAACTTGAGCACTGGAAATCTAGGAAGGAAACCGCCTCAGCACTGTACACAGTGCTGAGAAAGGAACCTGTTAGTTACTTCGGTGCTTTTGCCAAACTGTGTATATACATGATGAAGAATCTTCCTATAGATTACGATCTATAGTCTAATACGAGTTGCTTCTTCCGTTAAGTGAGAATTCTCTGTTCAGCCCTCCAAGAAATTTCTTCAGACTACAACATGTACATTTTATGGATGACATCCTCTGCAGACTCAAAATCTAATGCGATAGGGCGAAAAAACATGGCGGCGAAAAAACAAGATTCATACATTTTCAAATGTTGACATCATAAACCTTCTTATGTAATTAAACAAGAAATGATACATATATTGTGTTACGTTTACTATCAACTATTACAACTTCCATTTGCCACTGAAAAATGAAAGTTTTCAATAAAAAAATCATCTGTTCAATCATTGTACAGATGGTTTTGATTCAGTGGGAACATCACAAATAAAAGGAATGAAATGCATCACTGCATCAAAGTAAAAGTGAAAGAAAGAAATCAGAGCCTTGTCTTGTCTCCTCTCTTCATATTTATCTACCATCCAAGTTCTGGCATGGCAATTGCAACAGGCATATTTCCCATTGTCGGCATGTTGACCACTGTCAGAGGGTAACAAACTTTCTTGTTGTTTTTTTAGGCGAAAATTAATGTGCGCGGTGATGTCATCCATATAAATTACTTGCTGTGGACTTCGAAGTTCAACAGCTTTCACATGTCGCACTCCATGCCCTTGTCCTTGACAATTTCCTCTATTTTGTAGCGGCGGAGACCACAGAGTGCCAGAAGAAGTGAAGCAAGCACCGTGAACCTCGTCGTGAAATTATACGGAGACGAAACAGAGCCAGAACTGTGATCAACGGTCACACCTTATGAGGAAATTCATAGTTTGTGGCATATATACGAGGGGTGATCCAAAAGTTCTCGGCCTCTCCCAAAAAACGTGATGGCAGAAAAATTTTTCTTACACTATTTTTAAACATAGTCCCCTCTAACTTCAATGCACTTGGTCCAGCGATGTTCCAGCTTTCCTTTCCCTTGTGGAAGAATATTTCGTCTGAAGCCCTTAAAAATGCCTAAACCACATTAATGACGCCATCATCACCATGAAAACGTTGACCACGTAAGTGGAACTTCAGTTTAGAAAACAGGTAGAAGTCCGACGGTGCTAGGTCAGGTGAATAGGAAGGGTGGGGTAAGACTTCAAAGCCACATTCGTTTGCTGCTGCCACTGACCCCTGTGCCGTGTGGACAGGTGCATTGACAGCACGTCAACTCGGAGCTTTTATCCCCTTTTCTCTGTGATTGTTGCCCTCAAATGCCGCAATTCTGGTGCACAGTACACCCCATTGATGGTTTGATCCTTTTGCAAGTAGTCAATAATGATAACCCCCTCACTTTCCAAGAAAACAGAGGCAAAAACCTTTTCAACGGGTAAAACTCGCTTGGGATGCTGGGAACCGTTCTTCATCAATTATTTGCTCTGCTGTTTTGATTCGGGGTGAAAGTGGTGAACCCATGTCTCATATTGGGTGACAAATCGTTTGAGTAAGTTGCCTTGATGGACTGAATTCGTTCCTTGAAATGCCCAGCCTGTTTAACGTGTGATGTTCAGACAACATTCTAGACACTCATCATGCAGACAGTTTTTTTCATCCCCAGGATGTTCGACAAAACATTGTGAACTGAGTCATAACACAGGCCAAATAACCTGCTACATGATGGACAGTCTCACATCTGTCATTTACTACCATGTGATGGATGGCCTCAACTGGATTGTCCATGGTGCTGATTTGTGGCATCCTGACATATGTTCATCTTTTGTGCTCTCCTTGACGCGCTTAGAGCTAGCAACCCAGTTCTTTGTAGTTAAATAAGAAGGGGAGTCATCACCAAGTGACTTGATCATGTATTTATGGATTTCCCTAGGAGACATAGCTTTTTATCGATACACTTGATCACAGCACACGCTTCTGGTGCGGCCATTTTGTGATTTTGCCCTCACCCACCCCATTTTCACGGGGCGTCACGTGGTAATTAATGAATACAAAAATTTGAATTTTTGTGTGCAGTGATGTAAGACGTCATAGTATACAGCCATACCAAAGAATAGGAGTTTGACCTCTATTTCCTAGGTGAGGCCGAGAACTTTTGGATCACCCCTCGTATATGGACACACACGAGAGAGGTTCCCGCCTCAAAGGAAAATGACATCTGAGGCAGAACATAGATACTAGCCTATATCGTTCAATAAATGCCACTAAAAGTATCCTGTCGTTTGTGTTACTTGTGTCATTATAGTTAGAGGACAGTCACGTCGGTACATTTTATCTAGTCGCTGACGCCTATGATGAAGGTACTGACAATGCATTAATATTAACGTTTTCTTTCTTATTATAGCCACTAGCTTGTGCAAAGATTCAACATCATCTTAATATGACAGTTCTGTTCTGAGAAATCTGAGGCGCGCGAAAATAGACAATATCATTTTTATCATACATGAGATAAAATCGTGGCGCGCGACACTGCGCATGCTGCTTGCGATGGTGAAATGCACGATTCCTTTTATACGGCAAATAAACAAGATATTCCGTCTCGGTTGTCCTTCAGATTAATAATTAAGTCAAAAATAACACCCGGCGTGAAACCAATATCACCAGAACAGGCCTTTGTCACAAGAAAACACGTTTCGCGTTTATGTCCTGAAATAGAAAGGGGGATGAAAAACAGCGGAGAAAACATCAATCCGAGGGCATTATACAGAAATAATGTCCTTTATCAATCAAATGACGGCCGAGGTCGGCAACCTCCGCTGCGAAGATGTTAATTTCATTTCAAGATGTTT